CGTCAGCACACTCATTTGTATTCCATTATCTTATAACACTTGAATATAGTCCAACTACAGAGCTATCGGTTACATGTTTTTTTAACAGTGCACAAATTTTGTATTAGGCTCACTCCTGTCCTACAAGTGAAAATACAGATTTCTGTTATGTTTGGAAAATATTAACCATTTTAACTTCTAAATGTTTAAAGAAATAAATTTTATGACACTAATTTGGAAAATATTACGCTTTGAAAACTTGAAAAAAGTAAGGAAAACTGACTTCTAAAATTTGCTGAAATATATATGGCATTAAATTAGTTACATACAACAACAACTAAACATAAACGAACAAATAACAAAGATTGCCCAGACGCCCATACGTTTATCGCTACCGTAGCACTGTGTGACATCCCTTAGTACCTTATATTTGTAGGAAGCGTTTTCGGCCGACTTCCACAAATATAGCGTCTTATCTCCGGAATTATTAATCGCCCACATGTTGTTACTTCTACATTATTTCTCAAATATTCATGGACTATATATTTATAAAATAAAAAATTGTCAACTAGTCTTTTATACCTATTCGTCACTGTAAATCGGAGACTTTTTTTTCACCTACCAACATTGTTGATAAGGATAAGAGTTTCCTCAAAAAATATTACTACTTTTCTAGTCAACTTATTTATAGTAGTTGTGTTCGGACCGACGATTCATTTCTAAATATTATCTGCTCATTTATCTTTCTTAATCGGCAGTTAAATAACTGTCATACTGTTTGAACAATTTGCGTACAAAAATAGATGTGTCTCGTGCTAGGTTCGGGCCCTGGCCCTTGCGCTGGTGGCGGAGTCGCCCAAGTCGACGGAGGCCTACTCGGAGGAGGAGCTCGAGTTCGTGCTCTACTTCCTGCGGTACAATATCAACGAGCAGGCGTCTAATTTCAGGCAACACATGCTCTCCCTGTTCACCAAGGTAACACTGGCACTGCTAATGTAACGAGGTGTGCTCCTCTTCATTTCTTCCTTTTTCACAGTCCACTTTATATTATCTTCCAATTCGTGTCTAAACATTTTTTTCCACTAATTAAATTGTTTGTAATTCCATTAAAATTATTTTCTGTAACCGTAAAGCTAATTCAAGAATATTTACTGATTTATTAATCTATGCAAGGTATCGTATGAAAAAATGACACATGCCATTTAATTGTAAAATATCGTTGTTAATTCTTTAAAAATAGTATCCAGAACATAAAATAATAACCGAGACCAATTCCCTCGGCGATGTAGAAGTATTCAATTTTCTACACTCATTTTGACTATAAATCTAACTGAACGCCGTTAGTACACCGACGGAATCGCATGCAAATGCGAAACATTCGCGAAACGCAAACAGGGTTGTCACCTTTTAGAAACAAAATACGTGATATTCGAATAGTGATCAGGAATTGGGACGGGGGGCAACTCCGAATGCGGAACGTGTGCGTCTGTGGAACTACCTTTCTCGAAGTTGACTGGGAAAGCTTACTGACAAGGACGCAGACACATTGCCATCCAACTGTGTTTCGTCGGTGTACCAAAGGCGTAAACAACTCAAACGGTGGTGGGATCGTTTCGAATACAACGTTTTTCTAGTTTATTTTTTTTCCGAACAGCTGTTGAAACGTCTCGGGGACAGCTACAGGGTGTTGAAGAGACAAACCGAGCCCAACGTGGAGGGGGAGGGCGATAAAGTGCACTATTACCTGTCGTTCGTGAAGCGGCTGCGGCGGCAGTGCCTGGCCAGCCTGCTGCCCGGCGCCAACTACTCGCGGCGCGCGGTGGCGCTGCAGCTGCTCACGCACTGCCAGCAGCTGCAGCTCGACGGATACCAGAGGTATACTCTAGCGGCAGTGCTGTTAAGCAACTTTCGGAAGAGTCGGTCACGAGATAGGTGACCAAATAATATTGGTGTAATAATGCGTTTTTGTAATTAAATAAATATATTTTTCTGGTAGTGTTTAATATCATCACCAGCCCTTTTACGTCCCCACTGCAGGGGCTCAGGCCTTCCTTATGGATGGTTAAGGAGGATGGGCCATGACCCTCCACGCTGGCCCAATGCGGATTGGAGGGTATTAACGACTGCAAATGCAGCCGGGACCAACGGCTTAACGTGCCTTCCGAAGCACGGAGTAGCTCGAGATAATAATTTTTTGGTCACCCATCCTGTGACCGACCCTTGCGAAAGTTGCTTAACGACTACGATCGCGAGCCACGGCGCTTATCCACTACGCCACCGAGCTACTGTTTAATATACTAATAACGATAATCACACCCTAATGTTTATTATATTTATGCTTCAACTAATCATGAATAATATAAAATATTTTGTGCTCATTATCACGTGACCGCAAGCAGCTCGTGACGCTACACCTCTCTCATTCATATCAGAACTCTATTTTTTGATTCAACCTTATGTATACATAGAACGATATTAATTTTAGAGTGCTGTGACGTCATAGCGACGCCATGGCAGAAGTGGCGTTTTCGCGGGAAATTTTGAAAGTTAAATTAATTTTTAAGATTTTGACTTATTATATGAATTATACTGTTTAGATATATTTCATGTATATCTATAAAAAATGTTGTTCACACCCCTATTATTATCTCGAGCTACTCTGTGCTTCGAAAGAGACGTTAAGGCATCTATCCCTGTTGCATTTGCAGGAGTTTAACACGCATCGGGCCAGCTTGGAAAGTCATGGCCCATCCTCCTTAAGCATCTATGAGGAAGGCCTGAGCCCTTGCAATGGGGAAGTAAAATAGAGAAAGAATAAATTTATATATAGAGGAAGAAAGCTGAGAGTAAGACGTTTTTTTTTTCTTTGTCTGAGAAAAAAAAATCGTCCCAAACAACACAATTCATGCGAGTAAATTTTTACAAAAATTATTTATTTATTTTTTGCAACATACTACTATCATTACAGGTTTCCCTAATGCGATAGCGTAGACATAGACTTTCACTTATAACATAAAACATATAATACTGCCGGTACGAATTTGTTCAATGAACAACAAAATAAATCTATAGACTTTGCAGTCTCGTTTAGACAACGCAACGTTCGTTGTATAGGTGCCTCTCTTAATATGTTTGTGCGTGCATATGGTAATGCGAACAGAGGCGACTGTCGACGCCGCCACACATATCGGTTTGGAACGCACAACCCTACTGACTCTAACACTATATGGTTAAAAATTCGACCACGCAATATTTTAAACATGTACGTAGCTAAACTCAACTGCCTTCTAACCTCTAACTTATTATATCCAACCATGCCAAGCATAAATGACGTTGGATACATTAAGGGGTAAAACGGGTACACGCCATAAAGCTTAAAATATAGAAATCTCACGAATTTGTTCTGTATCCGTTCTAGCATTAATTTGTACTTTTCTTCATATGGACTCCAAACGGATGCATTGCATTCTAGATGACTTCTTACTAGTGCTTGATACAACATCCTTACTGCATTTAAATTTGTAAACCCATGCGATTGACGCAGTACGAATCCCAAATTACGATAAGCTTTTTTGCAAATTTTTATTACATGATCTTTGAAAGTTAGGTTAGCTGTAAAATAAACTCCAAGATCTCTCACTTCAGTTACGCGTTGTATAGCTACTCCTTCTATCTGATACTGAAACTGGCGAGGTTTATGTGATAGGGTGTATGAAACTACTGAGCATTTTGAGTTGTTAAAGTATAATTTGTTTCTATGACTCCATTGTACTACCCTAATAATATCTGCTTGTAATTTGTCGCAATCGAAAATATCGTCTATTTTCCGCACCAATTTCAGATCGTCAGCAAAGAGAAGGCAAGTGGCATTCCTAACTACTTCAGGTAGATCGTTTACCATCAAAATAAATTCCAATGGACACAAATTACTCCCCTGGCTGACCCCCGATCTAGTAAAGTACGGGTCTGACCACTGACCGGCCCAGTCGACGAACTGCCGTCCATCTCTCATGCGACTTGCAAAGAGTGAAAGTGTTTTCGGCGTACAGCCTGCTTGTGCTAATTTCGTGAGTAATATATCGTTATCAACTACATCGAAAGCTTTCCGGAAATCAAAATACGCCACATCCACCTGAGCTCCAGAGTCTACAGCCGGCGTAAGTTGTGTCATCAATTGAAGCAGATTGCTAGAATTACTACGACCCAGTCGAAAACCGTGTTGCGCTTCCGTTAACTGAGCATTTACCTGTGAGTATATAGAATGGTGAAGCGCTGCCTCAAATACTTTAGCCGGGGTACACAGGACTGCCACCGGCCTAAAGTCACAGATTTCGACACTTCCTTAGGTACAGGCACAACTCTCGTCAACTTCTACCTATCTGGAATCCAACAAAGGCCAGTCGTTACTGGCCTTTGTGGTCGAACGGGATAGGAGATCAATATCTTTTATCAGGCTGAGCGGGATAGGCGCTTTTCTTTATTTTTTATCTATCTTTAGTTGGTCCTTTCATTATATCTTTATTTCTTTCCTTTTTGACCGTTACGCACTTTCTTTCTTGCTTTGCTGTCTTTTCTTTTTTTCTTTCTTGTCTTTCTATTCTTTCTTTCACTTGCTTAGTAACATGTAATGAAAATTTGACCACCTATCCCATTACTGGCGTCTGCAACGCGATATCGCCCATCGATATCTAGTTGCATCGCATCAAACCATAAGTAAAGAGTAAAAGTAACTCCCACAAAGATTAAATTAGTACGGCCTGGAACCAAAGACTTCCAGTTTACTTTGCAAGAGCATCGGTTAATCTTATGGACGTCCTGCCCCATGCCGCCCCTCCATTTCCTTATATTATTTCTTTTACAATGCTTAAATTTGGTAAAAAATTAATTTCAGGAACAAAAAAAATATTATTTGTTAATTGAAAAACAAATAATTAAGTGCTAATTGAAATGTCACAGTTAACGATAAATCAATTGTTAATTGTTATTCCGCAATTAAGAATGAATCAATGAATCAATTGTCAATGAAATTGTTATACAGCACGTGGCGCGATGGGCACGTGTCCGCGCTGCTGCGGCACGTGCAGGACGGCTACGAGCGCAACCGCGACCGCGCGCTGGCGCTGCTGGCGCGCTGCCCGCCTGCACTGCTGCAGGTACACTCTACACTCCACACTCCACACTCCACACTCTACACTCCACACTCCACACTCCACACTCCACACTCCACACTCTACACTCTACACTCTACACTGGCTCTTTCACTTGTATCTCAATAAAACACACACTTTAAAAAAGCAGTGTTCCACATGACGTAATATTTTTTTCTTCAAAATTTTTGCAGCGACATAAGTGAAATAGTCACGAGTGTACTTTTTCTATTTTTTCTTTAATATTTATAATTTGTGAAATCATAGCTTACAGTTTTTATTTTTCTGATAAATATTATTATTTAGCCCGTGTACGTCCTGTACACAAATAAAATAAAACTTGTGTTCTACGACAGGGTAAAAAGTACAGTGTGAGTATAGAATTAGAGGATATATTGCGTCAAGCGTCATCTCTGAAGCCGGCAGACACCGTGTCCGCCGCTTACAAACTGATACTGCTCAAGAGAACGTTGCCCGAATACGTGTTGGAAACGTGCCAGGCGCCCAGGTAATTAATCATAATTATAGTCTTCATTAATTTCAACTGAATCTAATTATTAAAAATACAACTACATTTAAAGTGATTCAATTCAAGTTAAGGTCCGATCTGATTCGAACGGTCGTTCACGCTCGTTTCTGACAATGCATCAAACGCCAATGTCCCACCGGATATTCGGTTAAACGGTTAACCGGATATCTGGTATCGGATCAAACAACTATCCGTTTCATCTTTAATAAAAAAATCATACGAGTATATTAACTTGTGAAACATTCCATTAAAATACATACATAAAAAATATTCTCGGCAGTGTTATATCATAAAATTGGTTTCTGTGTTTTGTCGTGCGCCGTGATGTTGTTTGCAGTATAGTATATATGTAATCATAGGATATTTATTCTTTAGTCAATTTGGGATCTTTAGTCACGTTTTTTCCTTTCTTTTCCCCCTCTTTATCTGCAATCACCCTCTAGACTTTAATCAGATGCGCTAACAATGTTATTACGGTTACAAACAATTACAATACATTTTGTCGTACAGAAACATTCCCTTTTAGACCGTTGTAAATACTATTAATAACGAAATATTATCTCTTTAGATCGCAAATCGAATGTCACGTTATTGCGGGCAAAATTTTGTAATAAATTCATATAAGGAGACAACCGTAGTGTAGTAAATAGATGATGTAATAGTAACCTCTGGTGGTCAGATCGCAATCGGAGCCGGTATCGTACGCGCTGCTGCACGTGTTGCTGCGGTCGCTTGAGGCGCAGCTGCAGCGCTGCAGCCACGATATCACCGCGGCCCCCACGCACGGCCCCCTCTACGGCACCCTGCACTGTATACGGCACGTGCTGCAAGATGTCCCCCCCGCGTACGTATATACCAGACGCATACATATCATAATTAAATTCGCTAAATATTGTTTATGCTATGTTATCAGGGGTGGATGCAAACCCTTAAAAAAATGTTAACTAGGTCGAGTACGAATCGGATTATGAACTCCCGTGCATGATCAAGATTTTTTATAGTTCCACTCGGGCAATCGACCACAGCAGACCATGAACATGTGACTTCCTAGTACTTTATGCTTTTATCAAGGATTAAATAATCAAATATATTTTCTAAATCGGTCGCTGGGTCCAGGGGTCCGTCTAACTCATGGACGTAGCCGTAGTCGTATTGTTTTAAAATTAATCATTTTTTTATTATTTACGTATTTAATCAATGCTTTTAGTTGTTTTTGTTTGCTTAATTATTAAAGTTAAACGAAATTTACCAAATGTCGAATTGATACAAACAATGCTATTTCGAAAAGAAAAACAAACCAAAATGTTAGATAAAATGTATAAATTTAAAAAAAAAACAATTAATTTTAAAAGAATATAAACAGATTCATAAGTAATATCGATAAAGCGTAGGTTATAGCTACGACTACGGCTACGTCCATGATTTAGGTGGTCGCGCCCCTGTTTTTACTACTAAATATAAAGTTGACGATTTTTCAGGGCTGTATGCGGAGGGGAGTGGGGCGCGCTAGTATCGCGCGTGATAGAGGCGGGCGTACGCGCGGGGGCCGCCGTGGACGCGGTGGTCAACTGCGCCTCGCCCGAGGGCCACCTGCCCGCCCGCCGCGGCCCGCTCGCCGACCACGGCAACTCCGCGTATGTACACCTGGCGCACAATCGGCTCACTGCCCCCGAATTATTGTTATGTAACAATCTGAAGGAGAATCTTAATTTTCTTTTCTATCTAAACACCGGGAGGACGGTTAGAAAATGTAAAGATTTTATGTTCGACCCGTTCGTTTATTTATTGTTTTCAAATGTGTTCAGAATTTTAAAAATACTTGCTTTGCAATGGCCTAAAGAAGTGAGCTTTTCTATTAACATATTTATTAGAAATGTCAGTGTCTTATTAAACTAGTTAATATTACAATACTTATTTTAGAAACAATAAACGCGTACTATTGTATTTTTTTAGATTTTAATTATATTAAAGTAAAACACCGCCGTTTTGTTTTATTCCAGCAGCATGTCTTCAATTAAACTGTTGCTGCCTATTGATTTTTAACAAAATGAATTAACATTTGTACTTAAATCATGGCTCACGAGTGAAATTTATCTTCACTAACAGAAGCAAAGCATACGATAATGTTGTCACTTGGTGATACTCCATGAAATATGTATATATAAAAGGATTTTAAAAATTAAAAATTGTGCTGCTTGTAGTTCATCTCATAAACGCCAAAAGATAATCAATTGCGCTTTTGAATTCAGTTATTTGACGTTCTACTTTAATGTTCCACAAGGTTTTTATTTGGGACAAAGTTTTTTCTATGATGTATCGTATTTGTTTGATTTTGTCAAAGACACTAATGTATAGGAAGATATAAATTAAGTAGTATCGTTTTGGTTGAACAGGGGGATCTTGCTGGAAGATGGTCGCGCCGTTACAGCACAGATGTTACTGCTGTGCGCCTGGAGAACTGTAAAGGAGGTAACATTTTACACAACATTTACCAGTCCATCCATAGACAGTGTCGACACACCCATAGGGTATATTTTAACTAATTCAATACTAAACCTAGAGTATATTTATATCTAAAGGTTTATAAACCTTCGTGGATGCAAAAAAAAATACTAGAATAAAAATATTTACAAAAGTTTGAAATTTAAGTAAAATATATATAAGTGAATTTTGTTTGCTCAATAATAGGGATGATGACTAATTTTTGTTAATAGTCCGTCAGGTGTGAAGAGTATTAAACACGTATTTTTTTTTTATTTTATGCGTAATTAATAAATTACAGCTATACATCGCATGAAGTCACACTTTTGTATATTTTTTACAATACTGTGATGTAGCCCCCACTTCTCAACTTTAAAGCCTGTTATCTAAGCCATTTCTTGTTAAGAAGAAGCAAATGAAATGAAATGAAAATGTTTTTATTCAAGTAAGCTTGTTACGAGCACTTTTGAATCGTCCAAAAATATTTTTTCCCCTACCACTTGTTCAGGACGTCTTGAAAGAAACTACGTATCTAATATTTTTCTATTATCTGACTGATGTATTAAATAGAATCCCTTTTTTAACAACCCAGTCGTCATTCCTATTATGACGATAGATTTTTTTATACATTCGTTTATATTTTTTTTATACATTGTAGGAAGTTCAAGAAAGTTTTTTAATAGAAATTATCCAGTAACCTTCGGCTTTAATTTCACAGGTTTCATTGCTACTGGGCAGTATCGTATCTCGTCTTAGCATCCAGGGCGAGGGTCAGGAGGGGGGCATCCTGTCGCAGGAGCGAGTGTTCCTCATAGGGGACCACTTCACTAAACTACTGACGGAAACCAAACATCGGGGCGCGTTCGAACAAGCTTACGTCGGTTTCACAGAATATTTGTCCAGGTAAGGAATATTTTATCGATTCCGATCGATCGAAGGGGAAGCGTCGGTGAACATTCTCAGTGATATTTTTTACAAAATTTACCGAATAAAATGCGTTAATTCAAGTCCGACAGACGGGAGGTTTGCAATAACTTGTGCAAATACATACCGAACCAATAGGGTATTCTACTCTGTCAGAAATATTACTTGTAACTGTTTATTTTAATTTAAAAAAGCCTTAGAATAAATATTTTAGAAAAATAAACTTGCCTTAAAATTCAATCGGAATAAACTTTTTTACACCCGCGAAAACGCTGTCCGTCATATTCATGACGTCATTGTGAAATGAACACAAAAAAGATGCATAGAGTAGAAGATTAATAGATGTCAATAAAACAAGAACAAAACCATCTACAGTCGGGTCATTATAATAGGCCACATTTGACATCTCTCAGTGTCTACTTCAAAGTAACCTTGTAGTGTAGTAAACATATAATATATATATATATATATAATATATATATATATATATATATATATTATATCATTTTTTTTTTTTTTTCAAAGTATATTGCAAATTTCTTTGTTATTAAAATATATTTATTGTCGTAATATAAAACTAGAGCAGTTTAACGTTTTATTTTGACCAATAAAACTTTCTAAATGTAATTAATCTATTTCATTCACATAAACACTAGGGGTATCCCAAAAATCGGAAAGATTATTTGGTCTAAGATCTGTTCGGAAGTTGACTTGATAATTATTTTTGAAAACATGAACAAATAATTACATTGGGTCTCTAATTACTAAATTTTTTTTATGGTTGTTTTTGTCTTTTTGTCGTGGGCAATGAGATACAAAGGTTCTTTTTGGATTAATTGCCACTCTTTGAGTTTTTTCATTACGCTTAGTAATAACTTATTTGTGCAGTATTCGTTTATCGTCTGTGATTTTTTCTGTTGTTATTGTTACCATGTCGAGACAATACATAATTTAATAATCAATTTCTACAATTAACATATTTATAATAAATATAAAATTGATATTATATTAATATTTTTAAACTCACATGATTTGATTTGTATTATATTATATATAATTTTGCACAATAACTTTACTCGATTTACATTTTTTTGAAAACCATATCGATTCGTTAAATTTAATCGAAACGAGTAGCTCGGTGGCGTAGTGGATAAGCGCCGCGGCCCGCGATCGTTGTCGTTAAGCAACTTTCGCAAGGGTCGGTCACGGGATGGGTGACCAAAAAATTATTATCTCGATCTACTCCGTGCTTCGGAAGGCACGTTAAGCCGTTGGTCCCGGCTGCTTCGGCAGTCGTTAATACCCTCCAATACGCATTGGCCCAGCGTAGAGAGTCACGGCCCATCCTCCTTAACCATCCATAAGGAAGGCCTGAGCCCCTGCAGTGGGGACGTAAAAGGGCTGATGATGATGATGATGAATCGAAACTTTAAAAAGAACGCCTCCCTATCAAGTTCAGACTGACAGATGTCCAATGTGATCTTTTATAATGATCCAACAGTAATTATTTCGAAATGAAAAGATATAAATAAGCTAACAGTTCCACCAGTTGCATAGCTACTAGTAACACAATGCGACGGTCAGGTTGTGGCGCTGCCGCGTGGCGGCGCTGCACGCGTGGGGCGGGGCGCGGCTGCGGGCGCTGCTGCGGGGGCTGGCGGGGCCCGCGCTGCACCCCACGCGCCGCAGCGCCGGCCTGCCCTTCATCGTACAGGTGCGTGGGTACAAATAAAAGGAAATGGCCGGATCCTGTCAATTTGTAAATATTACATCCTATCCTATTAATATTATAAAGGCGAAAGTTTGTAAGTATGGATGTATGGATGTTTGTTACTCTTTCACGAAAAAACTACTGGACGGATTTGGATAAAACTTTACAGCAATATAGGTTATACATCAGAATAACACATAGGGTACTTTTTACTGGGAAAACTTCTCACTCCCACGGGATACCGACTTCCACGCGGACGAAGTCGCGGGCGTCCACTAGTTTATAATAAATTAAAATATATAGTGCCTATCACAGTTATCTAGAACATCCGACAAAAAAATCCAACAAAATGAATTATTAAGTACTAAAGTCACAATAAATTTGCGTTTGCGTGTATGTACGTATATAATAAATACAATTACAACTTGATTAAATAGATAAATACATGTTGATGCTGTTTTACAAATGACCCTGTATAGAATATACATATTGTACGAAATTACCTAGTCTTAAACACTGACTGTTTTCCCGCGACTTTGCCCGTGTATGATGTAGTTTCCCATGGGTGAGTTTTTTTAGTCCAGTCGTTTAGAGCTAATTCAATACAAGCGATCAAATATATTCGCTTTAAAGTATTGGTATAAGTTAGTATTACTCTTGCAATATTTATGGATATATAACACATATGTTCCTCGAACCTAACTGAAGCTATTGTGTCATGAAAATTGATATAAGTAAGTAGTTAATAAATAATTTTCTATATTAACTGTAATCTAACCGAGACCTCAGAGACGGTGATACTCATTAACGGCTCGACTCGAAAAAAAATAACCCATAAAAGTCGACATACGAAAGAAATTATTTAAACAGCACATGCTTTATCAAGTCGATAATGGAGCGGCTATTCTTGCAGGCGTTAGTGATTACTGAGCTCCAAGTCAAAGGCAATCCGACATGCCTTCACCAGTGTATGAATACGTTGTTGAGACTAGTCCGAGCCACGTCTACAGAACCAAATGAACATATACATGAAGCTTCCAATCGAAACACCAACACTAACATAGTTAATGAAGAAAATAAAAGTGAGATGGAATCATCCATGAAGAGTACAGACAATTCACAAGCTGATATGAACTCTATATGTAATGATGGTTCGGTTGAAAGTCGCACTCACTGTATGAACATACTGAGAGCATTATTCCGTAACTCTGAACTGGAGGAGAGTCTGGCTGGTTATATCGGTGAAGGACTGATGGTGGCACTTGCAGGGTTCGAGAAGGAAACGTGGATGGTGAGTTTTTCAATTTAATAAGACGTTAAAGAAGGTATACAATTTTGATTCTTATTGTGGAGATGATTGGGTTAATTGTGAAATTCGAATAGGAGAACTCAAGTGTTTATAGAAGACACTTTGTACCAGGTAACTTAATTCCTTTGAAATTTCACTAGCGCATCTGCTATTATACATATTTCAAATACAATTTATTATAATAAAAAATCAAAGTGCAATCTATCATATTTAACTTTCAATTGAATTAATATTGTATTAAAAACATTGCAAGTCAGGAATAATTTAGTTGAACACGGCCTGACTAGATGCCCTATTTTCTGGAAAGGAAATTTCCAAATATTTTCATAGGTTCTTGTTTTAATTAAATTCATATTCCTGTATATTCCCTGCGCAACAGAGTTAGTCATTTGTTGAATTGTTATATTTAATAAACTTTGCATTCATAATGCTATACTGAAAAATCTTATTTTTTTTAAATCATACTATTGTTTTGAGAAAAGTATTTCAAACCTTACATCACATTTCAATGTGGTGACATCACGGCTCGAAATGTCAGTAACTATCCATTTGTCGTCGTAGGGATATGCACATGCTCACACTTCTCTATTCTATATTGTCAATAAAATATTTTTTTCTCTTCTACGCATGATCTTCCTCTTCCCTCTTCTAACAATTATCGATTGTTCTTTCCTGCCAATATCAGTAAGTTTTATAATTAATCTTTTACAGTACAGACTATAAGATTGTGGAACACTTTACGTTTTATCTCATTTTCTGTCATAAGATTAGCCTGCTTTTCTGTTTCTATTTTTTTCTTACTTCTGCTCTTGTTGTCACTCGTATCTTGAGCATTTTGTTTCCGGTACATATAGACTGGTATTAATGATATTTCGCTGTTCTCTGTTTGGTTTTGATTGATTTAAATTGTTATTTATTGCAGTGTTGGCGGTTCGGGTGTATAAATGATAGTCTGACTGCGATTATAATAATAATATTTAATTACGTTAACATTGGCTTATATATAATGAGGAGTGATGAGTGTGTGTGTATACACACTACACCTCCCCCCTAAAAAAAATTAAAAAAATTAAGATTACATTTTTTTTATAAGTACATATACATATTGACGATATTAGCTAAATATTGTTTATAAACCGTTCTTATGTTGTTGAATTTATTGAAATAGATACAAAAATCTGATTTTTGTTTTACATACAAATAAGTAGGTATAAAATTAACAAAGGCTAGCTTGACACACTTACAAGATTAGTTTGAGTTCGTAATGAATTTATACAGTCATACATAATTCATATTATTTATTTTTTTATAAATAATGAAATTAAAACTTGTTTTATACATTAAACGAGTTATTTGGACTTGAACTTTACAGAATACAATTTTCATTTCTATATCGGTGTTATCTTTATAATATTGCAAGGTAGACATCTACAAGTATAAAAGCTTAATTTCCTTTAAAAGAAAACGATAAATAATAGTAAGTTGCACAAACAATTTTTATTATTTTAAATTGTTTTTAAATTTATAAAGTTATATATGAAAAGTAAGTATATAACTTGCATGTAATGCTAAAACTAACATTTTGTTACAGAAATACAGCTTATGCAATTACGTAAAATGAATTTATATTGTATATAACATTATTAATTTGTTTGGAAATTATTAAACTTTACTTTTACATTCATTGTTATAATAAGATACAAATAATAAAACACAACATATAATAATATATCACACAAAACAATTGAAATTATACCCTTTAATTAAAAAAATCGTTATCATTAATTTATTGAAAAAAAAAAACCGTTATTAAAAGTAATTTAATAAAATATAGTTTTTTGTTATACAGCCTCTATTAGTGACAACCCTGTAAGTTTTCAAACGTCAATAACTTCACAAGGAAAAAATAAACTCTTACAAATAAGATATACAAATTGCATATGAATATTTTCGATATTAGAGAGTTATCGATAATACAATTATACATGAATTCTTTATATGGATTTTCATGAAAGTGTGGATTAGATTGCACTGCTTATGTTTTAAAATTAAGATTGCTAAAAAATTTATCTTATTTCTCGTTCATAAAAAGATATATCATATATAGTGACTTAATAAATCAACACTACTAATATGTAAAGAAAAAAAATACTGTTCACTTTGTTTTCATATTTATGTGCTAGTTTAGAATTTTTTTTGTGTCCATATCCATATAATGTAAATCTATCCTGAAATTATTATTTTTAATGTAAAATAGCACATACTTCAGTACAGTTCTTTTATTTAAAAAAAACTACCTTTTCTAAGAAACTTTCCTTCAAATCACTTGAGTATCCGTTAATCATTTCATATCTATCCTTTTTTTTTTTACAAATATATATCAATATTCTACCTATTTCTTCCTATCATTTTCTAGCACTTTGTATATTATATATTTTCATCCGTTTAACTAAGCTTTCATCGTCATTATTTCACCATTTTTTTTTATGATTCTAATTCTTTAATACCACACAATACCTATATACTTATTTCATCATCTATCATCTTTATTTCACATTTATTAAATCATACTTTATTCCATACTCTTGCTCATATTCTTAATTTCATATAATTTGGGTACACTTATCATACATAACACACATTATACACGTAGGTACTTTGCCTATACGCATTATTTCACTCACCTGTTTCGGTCGGCGCCGGCGTTCTTTCATTTTCATTTTATTTATTCATATTGGTACATATATTATTTATAGTCGACTTTACATATTCTAAATGGACAATATCATGCCATTTGGGTTGTGGCCACAACCTAATTATTTTGGGGGTCTTGGTTTAAGCCTCTTTTGGACTCCAACTTATCTCACGGAGAAATCTCGTTTGCACATTGATCGAATGGAAGGATCCGACCCTCCATGTACCATTTTCATATACATTTCTTTTCATAGGGCCATGAATTAAGACACATTTGGTCTCCAACAGTATTCAAAGGAGAATCTCGTTCGTCAATTGATAAGACTGAAGGACCCGATCCCTATAGTACCCATTTCTTATTGTGTACCGTATAATCGAGCATTTTAATTCATTAACTTTCATTCCTAATTCATTTTAATTCACAATCCATAATAATGAATATTTTGATTAATAAGAATTTCATAGCTCCTGGGTGATCAGTCCGTTTGCATGGAAAATTTTATAAACCAAATTATTCCCAAACATCCTTAAATAAACTCGTACATTCATTCCAATACCTTCATAATAAAATCACTTCATCATTTTCATTCCTTATCCATACTGTACCTAGTTGCCAACAAAAGTAACAAAAAGATTTTTCATACAGTTTACATAACTTATGCTTTCCATAAAATTCTTTCATCATCATCCGTGCTGTACCTAATTGCAATCTAATAATACTATAAGAGTAGTCACAAAAAGATTTTTAATACAGCTAACATAACTTACACTTCCCAAATTCACTTTTCATTATTTTTTCTTGTAAATCTTTTCTTTACTTATTTATTACTTTGAAAACTACCTGTCATTATTATCATTCCTTTGTTACGATATTGTTTTCCTGTGAATAATCTTACTTACTACAAAAAAAATCTAAGAACTTCGATTCGAATACTAATTGTTATTGTAAAATGAATATAATGTTTCAGTCCAGATAAGCATAATCGGATATCTCAAGTGGTATTGTTTATAATTACAATCATGTTACTGCTTCGCTTAAATGAAAGCTTGCAAAACTGTAAATGGATCGTGCTTCGTGTTCATCAAAGTATTAGAAATATTATACCTTTGCTTTGTATTCCTTCTAACTAATTTAGAATTGTCTTATGACAGACATAAACATAAACGATTTTTATTATTTGTATATAGTTAAGTCCTGGGTAGCTTAGTGGTTATAGCAGCCGCCCGGATTTTTCATTAAGAATAAATTCTTTTATATTTCCAAATAAATAACTACTGTTTCCAAACATGATACTTTAAAAATATGTCACTGTAAAATCTGTTATAGAATATGATTTTGTTGAATAAGACTATAATAAAAGAAAAGACAAATAAGTGAATTACTTTTTGTAAATAATATACAGACAAGTTGAACATTTCTAATTTGCTTTAATGTTTTTTTTTTCTGTAAAAATATGTATTTACCACTGTTATCTTAAATAAGACCAAATAATTTTATATATAACTAGCTGACCCGACAGACTTCGTCCTGTCAAAAAGATTTGTAATGTGGCAGTTTTTTTGCCTACGTATTTAAAAAAATTCTCCTGAACAGAACCGTCACCCTGGTGATAGGGCGTTGTGAATAAAAAATAATTAAATAAAACATATATAAGGATTTAAAAGTAAGTAATCGCTTTATTGTTAATCATGTGAATCATAATTATTATTATTATCAGCATTTCTGGTTCTTCTACCTAAATTGCTTCGTCTTATAGGAGGCATATCAAATATAAATTATTTTTTCACTAATCACGAACTAAACAAACACTAACTAAGTAAACACTCTGCACAAAACACGATATACGAATTTGTTTCGTGTATCAGTTGACAAAAGCAAACTCAGTAGATTAGGTCACAGACAACTTTTTTTTTTTTTTTTAATTTGATATGACTTGAAGTCAAATCCTTTTAAGCCGTACGAATTGTTTTATTGATTTAAAATTTGGATATTAAAAATAATAAAACACTGTTGGTAACGCGATTTTTGTTTGACTGATGTAATGACGTGGAAACTGATGCATTTTATCTCGCGTGCCGAAACTAATACAAAAGAAACGCGAGTTTCGGAACGCGACATTAAACTCCTCCAATTATGTATTCTGTGCTCCAACGCACACACGCACATTGTTTTGATAGAAATGATCTTTGACGTTAGGAACACACCTACATTGCTTAGACAACAGTGAGTGCTTGTAATTTAATATGAACTTTATACCATAGCAATAAAGCTCAAATTGACTACGTTTTAGTTACAAATCATTTGTATGGGAAAAAGAAAAGGGCTATTTTTAGGGTTTTTCCAGCAATAATTCTAATTTTTCTCGCCGTAAAAACCATCCTTGAACTTCAACGAACATTTTAAAAAAAGATTTGGCCAAATTGGTCGAGGCGTTGTTGAGTTATGCGCTTACCAACACATTTTGCGATTCATTTTTATATATATAGATTATGTAGTTTTTCCATCGATAATTCTCAGTAGTTTTGTATCTCTATTGATTTGAATAAATCTATGATTGGTTAACTTAGTGCTATTAAAAAATTACTTTTTGAGATATAAAACTCACCTATATAATTAAAAATTCAAATTAATTCAATTTTATATAACGGCATTTAAAAATATTTGCAAATAATCCTTTTTTTCTGTCGTTCAAACTTTATTTCTTATTAATATTTTAATAATTATTAATAATTATCTTTTTGAACTTGGATAATATAGAAAAAATCGTTCAGAATTAAACGTAACCAGCAATAAGTACAATGCATGCATGTGACATGCGCACGTTTTGCTATATCAGAGTTTACAATGTCGTTCACTTTTGAACGCAATTATGAATTATTGAATTTAATAAAATATTATTATAAATAATTGTCAAAAAAAACCATTACTGTCCAATCTAAATCAAAATATCTTAATTTTACTTCTTTCAAATTTCGTTAATGAGATATAGAAAAGAAAATTAATATTTTAACCGTCGTGAATATAACTAAGAGTTGCCTTTTGCAATAATCTCGACTTTCTGGAATACTTAAAAATAGGTAATCGAACAGCTCCCGGCTGCATCCACTTCCGACACCTACGACTCCCGGCACCCTGTTTATCCATCAACTCATTACCAGAGCCATCTCGAACGTCAGCAACAAACTCTTACTTTCACATTTCAGTTATTTTTTCATTTCCTTTTGTTCTTTTTTTTTTTTGAAGAATTTATTTCACTTTTAGTTCTAAGTCTATATATGTATATTTCACTTGCAATGTAATTATATGATATTTATATCTTCTTGATTTATTATATTTTATATATAGATTATAGTCACAAAATAGTTTTTATTTTTGACTGTCCATTATATTAATAAATTTTAAAAAAACCATCTGCTCAGCGCTGCCGACAGGCAGCACTGGCAGGGTCGCCATGCAGTGTTGGCGGTTCGGGTGTATAAATGATAGTCTGACTGCGATTATAATAATAATATTTAATTACGTTAACATTGGCTTATATATAATGAGGAGTGATGAGTGTGTGTGTACACACACTACAGTATGCATAATGTGCTATTTAATGCTACGTTTTTTTAACCAATGCAAGGTTGTCTTGAAGTCATCACTGGCTAGCGATAAGGCCACCTTTTGTACGTAGTCCTGTAAAATATTTATTATTATTATTTAATAAATGTGAGTACTGATTTACACACCCAGCAAAAACGTCGGCGTTTAGTTTATTAAAATGTGACGTCACAAGATGCTCCGTCATGGGCCTGCGTTTCAGTTTTTGTAATACACAGATTATAAATTGCAATTTAGTGTTACAAAAACAAATTATAATTAGAATTTATTTTGAAAAAAAAAATACAACATAATTATTGTTTACGGATAAGGTACCATATCCGATATATTTATTAATTTATCGTTACAACTGTCAAGTAGGCCCATTACATGAAATTCGGAGAAACAAAAGTAAATATCGATAGTGTGCCGTATGATATCGACCGATTGCAATGGCGGTCCTGTCCGTGTGCAGGAGCGCAACGCGGCCACGCTGCTGTTCAGCGCGCTGCTGGGCCGCGTGTGCGGGCCCGCCCGCACGCGCGCACGCCGCACGCTCTTCCTGCGCTACCCCACGCTCTGCGACTATATCGCGGTGAGAATTAGTAATGTACTCCATGCATATCTAAAATTTAAATTCTATCTCGTCGTTCGTAATAAACGTTTTGACTGTGACATTTCGAAAGTTTTGCTTATTTTGTGTTGTTAAATATATATTGTTTTAAGAGAAACTCGTTCGTAGGAACGAGGTACTAGATAAATCGATTTTAGTCTAAGTCGATTTCGGGATCGATACATAAAAAATAGCTTGGCCTTTTTCGGTCGACCTTGTATCTTGTACCGGTCACGGTTCGCCGAGGGTGAACGTAGATATAAAATAGCGACAACGAAGCGAACGGCAGCTCGTTCGACATCGAGGACGATGCAGAGTTGGCATCGCACGCATAGTATTCGATCGCTCAAAGAGGACGATGTCATATAGAAAAAGTTGGAGGAGGCGGGCCCCGTGATCGAGGAGGAGCTGAACCCGGGCCTGTTCCCGGTGCTGCTGGTGGTGGGGCGGCTGGGCGGGGCGGCGCCGGAGGGGGCGGGGCCGGCGCTGCCCCCGCGCGCGCTGGCCCCGCCCCTGCGCGCGCCCCCCGCGCCCCACCGCGCCGCCGCCGCCGCCGCCGCGCGCGCGCTGCTGCCGCCCGCCAGGTATGCGCCGCGCCGCCATCTCTCATTCTGACTGGACTGGGCTTGGAGCGTTTCCCCGACGCATAAATAAAGGCATACGCCATCCTAGATATGGTACTATCTCGCCGCGCTGACGTCGCCCCGGTAATCGACGGCGAGACGAAAGCTTCGAAATGCATCGTGTAGTCCCGAGATGATTGGTCGCGCCGATGGTCGGTTTTCACGTGATTAAGTAGTGATAGATTTTTTACTTAATTTTAGGTGATTAGATGCGTGTTAACATCCAAATGTGTAGTGAGTAGCGAGTTAAAATTTAATTTACTGTTACTTATATTTGCGTTTGCATGTCCTCGATTACTCGGAATCAAATAAAAAATCTCCTTGCTTGATCACGTGTAAACCGGCTGTGATTGAATTCCGCCGTGACTCGGAGTTTCATCTTTGGTCTACGCAAGTATAACCATATCTCTGATTATCGTTCCCAACTTCAATGGCTACCTATCTGTCGTAGAAGAGACTTCTATCTTTTTTCTATTCATTTTAATCTTTCAACCACCGCAATATCTTAAAGATCGCTTCATTTTTCACTCTTCTAATTCTCTCCGTGATTTAAGGCCTTCCCATACCTTTCCTTCATTCATTCCTTCTGCAGAAATAGCTAATTGAACATCATCGGTTCCCGCTCCACTTTTAGTAGATTCGTTCATTTCTTTTAAGTTCTTAGCTGAATGCAGATCTGCCCCTTACTCTCTAACGCAATCGCAAGCGATCGACATTGCGATTGTGCCGCTTAACACTTTTGATTGGTTCACTGGCATACTCGGGCGTAGGGAATGCGATCTCGTTCTCGTTAGATTTCGGCCTGTAATGATTGATCTTGGTCGAAAAATTGACGAAATCTCGCGAGGCTAACGAGATTACACTCGAGCACAAAAACGTCTTATTCAAAGTGCGGCAGCGCGAATTTATACGAGTCCGGGCTGTCAGAAGGCGAAGATTCTTTGCACATTTTGTGCTTCTTAAGATGTTACTTCCAAAGTAATTCGTAATAATGGCGTGCGAGGTGAACCGAACAAACTTTTAATTTTGTTGGTATATTTTGTTAATTTATCATCTAAAGTGTAATCGATCCCTGAATACACATAGTTTTCTTTAATTGATAATAATATCTCAGTTTAATAGTCAATTCAACTTAGTTACTGAGTTCTAATTTAGTTTTTGATATCTTGTTGTATTCTTATTAAAGAATTGTTAATTTATTAAAAGCCTATATTTTAAAAGCTTTTATTATTAAAAAGGTCCGAAACGTCAATAAAATTAAAAGCCTTTTGTTTGATATGAGCATAGAAGGCTGGTTGTATATTTAATTCGTATTTGAATAGATACGGCAAGATTTACTACTTAAAAGTTTTGTACCTGTATGACTGAGCTTTACTCTGTACTTCACTATAATATATACTGTGGTAAATGAAACCTTATTGATTTATCGCCCCTAAAATCCCCTGCATACTAAATTTCATGAAAATTGTAAGAACAGTTTCCGAGATTTAGATCACAATACAGGAATTGCTTGACTAAAGGTAGATATTAGATTTTAAAAAATGAGTCAAGCAATGCTAAATACATAAAACTTTACTGAAAATACTCGTAAAAATAAATGTTTTTTTCTTAATAGCTATAATTCTTATTATTTTTTCCTAATTTATTAAAATGTTGTGATTATTTGCAACAATAAACACACGAAATTGCCAATCACGCAGTCTCGCGTCATGATATTCATAAACTCGCGAGATATCGCCCGAGCCCTAATCTCGCATTTTGCATTCCCTACTTTAGCGCTAGTGTTCGGGTGATCAAGAATATGACACGACACCATTACAATGTCGATCGGGCACGATTGCGGTCGATAATAAGGGGGCTAGTTTTTATTTTCGACGCGACACCTTCGGCCCGATATAAACATATTACGTATTTTGACAACGACGACCAAACCCAAGTAGCACAAAACACCATTATATCAAACTTATAATAGCACGAGTCCAAGCGTTAAGCATTATAATAAAATCGTATATCAACCGTATTTCTTTTAAACGACTCTTATACGTAAAATTTGGGCCCCCCATTTGTACGACTTTAAGCTTTATAAAAGCTGTGCAATAGCACTACAACTTTTGTATAATAGCATTAATAAAGTCGGGTAAAAGCATTCTCATAGCCACAAAAAGTTCAATTAGCACCTTAAAGTGTTAATTGAACTTTTTGTGACTATATTACAATTGATATGCGTAAATCAAATTATAATACGTTAATTTAATGTTATAAAAATGCTTACTGTTTTATTTCCTTTGTAAAAAAAGTATATTTAATAGATTTTAAAAATATATAATCGGTTCAAGTTATTGTTTTGTGTAAGTGTCATGGCATGTTCTTTTGGCTGGTCTTTTAAGTATTTTTTAATATTGATTTAAACAGCTCGTTATGTGTGAAATAAGCTGCAAACATCAGTTTGTGGAGTAAAATATACAAGTTTATGGTGTAAAATACACGCGCCTTCGCAAACTTCCTTTAATATAATAAAAATAATAGAAAATTTAACCTAGTAGCAAAACTTTTTGTTGAATTTTAGGCTTTTTAGCATTGTTTTAACAACATAATTGCTTTTATAGGCATCTGTGCACAAAATAAATGATTGTTTACCCCTTTTTATCTGACACAGTTAACTTTAAATATTTTGTAAGAATTGGAAAAAGAAAGCAAATGGCGACTCGTAAAATTAAAGCATTTGGTATTCAAATATAGTGTAGTAGAGCTGTTAATCGTATTATGGTTAGACACAAAACTAAGAGCTCGTAATTCACCGTATAACACACTCCCATTTTAGGTACAGCCGTATTTTAACACTTCAGAAGTATCTTATAGTGCTTATAATCATCAAACGATTATTTCATTTTATTTTGATTTTTAAAAGCTTCAATTAAATTAGAATACTCTTTTTTCAGTTTTCTTTTATATCCACCTGTTTTCTTTGTTTTTCCCAACGTTTTTTGTCCATGGCGCCAGCGATGCGTATAAAATGCCACCATTACAATACAATAAATAAAATAATTTTACATTTTAATTTCACATAAAAAATAATTACTATCTATTTATTACTTGTATCTCTATAAATAACTTAATATTGATCAAAATATAGCCTAATGTTTTATAAAAGCATAGATTAAGAAGATAAAGGAGCTTGAGCTTGATTAAAGAATACTTTAAGAACAAATCGGTGCTAAAGTTTTACTAGTTCTTTATTCAATGTGTATATAGGATAAGCATTAAATCGATACAATCATAGACCATTAGAAAACCTTTGTTTCTAGAAAATGACTAAATACAACTAAGTGCACTAAATATTATTACGTTAATGCTTATATAATATATAATGTTTTTCATATCACCGAAATACGATAACAGCTTTATATTAATATGAGCCAATACTTAAATAGGAGTTTTGACATTGGTATACTTTTTTTATTAACCATAATATGGCATTAAGCATTATTAGATAAAAAAATGCCTTTAAACAGATTCGAAACTTGACCAGTGCTGATTAAAAATGTTAATATGACTTTAGGACATAAATCGGTACTTATTTTAGTTAATATATTATTTATGTGCTACTTGGGAAATTAACGTCTCACTACTTAACTCGCTTTTGCCGTGAAAAAAAAGCAATAACCAAGTTAACTGGCAACTATGCTTTTCGAAGTGTAAATCGGACTTAATATACAATTTCATCCACATACATTGTATCGTCGATCATGTTCTTCACATTCTAGCGTCATCTCTTTCGCATACCGTTATTTTTGTTTTCGTCGTATTCAGTTGGATTTTTCATCATACAATCATCAGACCCCTGTGAGAAAATCTCATCAGGACTCTTAACTCTTCGAATAATATAATTATCGTTCCTTCAAATTAATATAATTTCCTATCAGGTACATACCACACATAGAGTCCTTACTGGACACGATCAGCTCATCGACAATCAAAAGGAACCACTGCCACGGTATCTTACTCCAGCTGACCAACCTCCTGGCTGCGATCCCTGAAGGCCTGGTGGTGGAAGACGACTCTAAACGACGCATCGCTCGAGGAATCAGAAACTCCTCCTGGATCCTGATACAGGGGACCGCACATGTGCCCTGCTACTTGATCACCGATGAATACGTTAAGATGATTAACCTGATTATTTGGAGGCGAGTTTAATATTTATATTTTTCGATTATCTGTTTCACAGTATGTAAATGGTCTGTTGTTGTGGAACCGTACGCAGTTGCATTAATATTTCGGGGAAAAACCGAAATTTCTAGTAAGATTGATACTTCGGGCCAATGTTGCCAGCATCACACTAACAATAAATATTATAAATATCAATTGATATATCATAATATGTATCCGTTGATATTTAGCAGCGAACCCTGGGCTTGACAGACGGACGGACAACGAAGTAATCTTATAAGGGTTTCGTTTTATCCTTTCGAGGTACGGAACCCTAAAAATAAATTATTCAGATGCTTATTCCCCATTGAATATGTTATACACTCTAAGCACTATCTTTAAATCCTGGTTGACTTACAAATATTTCTGTTTTGATATTAATATATCTTGCAATTTAATTGAATTGTTTTTTCCTCCAGGTTCCCGTCAATTATAGATCAAGAAATGCTAGAAACAATACAATGTTATTTAGAACGCATACTTTTCGCCGAAGTCGTGCCTGTAATAAAATTAGGACGAGAGATTTGCTTAGCAAACATCGCGTACCTCTGTATAATTATACTGAATAAACAGACTTATGACTTGGAACGGGGCATCAGCTCCGTCGATATAAGAGCACATCCTGACGATGTCCACGCATTGACCCATTCCCGAGATATAATAACTTTTCTTTACAAAGGTTTATCCCACAAAACGTACGAAGTTGTACTCAGCTGTCTGAACTACCTCCTGATTTTGTACAACAAATTAGAGATAGAATGTCAATTTCAAGAACACCTGGCTGCGATCTCTCTCGACACGCATGTGAGGGCTGCATTAAGAGGAAACGTGACCTTTATAAAAGCACTCTGTGATGTTTTAACACGTAATGAATATGCGGAATGTATACAAAAGGCACTTTCTATACTTTCATTAGAAGATAACACGCAGAAGTATATAGTGGAATTAAAAGTAAATAGAACAGTAGTGTCCGATGATGAAATAGCTAGGACGTTACTCGGTTGTATCAGAGATGAACATGAAAACTTAACTCATATTTATTTGGAAAGCCTAAGGCGTTTCGTGGTAGATTCATTGCGAGACTTTGAGTACAGTAGTTTGAGTGACGACGTTATTCTCGACGTCGTAAGGGTGATTTTCGATTGTTGCACATCGGAGAATAACTATAGCACGAGGGAAGTGGCGACGGAGCTGTTGCAGAACATTCTGCCCGCGTTGGTGAAAATGAAGTTCGATACGCTGTCTGAAGAACAGAAGTGTAAGTATAAGTCTGTCAGCTCTGGCTCATTTTGGTATTGTTGGCATTCAAGCGATGGGAGCGGCAGATAGCATACGTTAGATTCCACTCGCGTTATCTTTGCTGGTCGAACGTAGAAGAGGATGGAGGTTTTGTCTTTTTGTTTATATATCAAAAGAAACAAACCGCTGTTGATATTACACATCAATAAGGAACTTAAATAGGTTATTCAGTATCCAAAAAACTGTTTCTAATGCTAAGTTACACTAGCGTGAGATGAGACATTCTTTTAAGCTGAGGTTATATGATATTACCACTTTTTTACCCAATTTATTCTAAGACTTTGCAAAATTTGTCAATTGAAAATCATTTTACTTAAAATAAACATACGATCGATTAGCTTGATCATTATATTGTTTCTGGGACACATGCCTTTTTTTAAATAGAATTGGATCATATAGAAAAAAGGGGCCGTGACCCAACCACGCGGCCTCATTGCGGGTCGGTGGGTGTAAACGACTGCATGTGCAGCCGATACCGACGGTTTAACGTGTTCGGCGAGTCGGTTCTAAGTTTACTGTGAACATGATCGTTGTGCTAATGAGGAAGTATTATAAAAAAACGAAAACACTAAATAGCACCTCCACTAGATGGCGACTCTAGCAAAAGATGATTTTTGAAGAAAACGAATGGACCAAAGACAGCTATTTCCGTACCTTTTAACTAACATAATAAAAAACTGAAATTTGAAAAGTTCGAAACTTATATATCAATACAAATACAAAAAAAGTACAAATAGAATACGAGTTGTTTATTAAGTTTTGAAAACTTATTTACGTTTAAATATAAAATAGAGCCGGAAAGGTTGTCATGGAGAAATCAAGAACGTATCGTGGCGACATTTAACTAGGTTTCGGAAAAAAAAATTTAAATCCTTCCTCATTCCCGCCAGTTGAGTTGGAGGCGACCGCGACGGCGGCGGCGGCGGCCGCGCTCGAGGACGACGACGAGCGGATCCGCGCCGCGTGTGCCGGCGCGGTGGGCCGCGTGTGCCGCGAGTGCCGCGAGTGCCGTGTGTGCCGCGAGTGCCGCGTGTGCCGCGCGACAGGTGCGTGGCGATTTCACTCGGTTCTGTCTGGAGTCTGATACGTCGCGTTCAAATGTCACGTGATGTCACACGTCAAGCGTCTATTAACTAAGCCATTTTTTGTTAAATTGAAGCAAAAAAAATACGTACCGATTTTTTTTCCATTATCTGACTAACGGAGTAGATCGAATTTCTTTTTTTTACCCAGTATCACCCCTATTATTTAGTAAAGGTACCCTTTATATGTGTACCTAGTATACGCGGTAACGTCAGGTTACCACGAAATGTCAAATTTTCTCGATTAATTTTGACCTCGACCTACAACTTTTCATGTGGAGAAATTTGACAGTTTTTTAAAGATTGTCTTGCTGTTTGTCTGTCTTTGTTTGTCATGTCCAAAAGTCAAAATTATAACGGGGGTGGATTTAGAATTCGAAAAAGATGTCTTTATTAAAATAAAACTTATAAAAATACATTTGAATCACCCCATATTTTTTACCTACCACTTGGACGTAACCACCAAAAACGAGCCGAGTGCGAGTCGAAGTATGAGTCAAAATAGTGCATTCCTGTAAAAACGTAACCTAAAATATAGGTCTCAGTAATCAAGATTTTGTACAGTACATATTCCACGCGACCAATCGACAGCAAATCATAAAAATGTGACGTCACAACTCTATTATAGCTACGGGCTTACCCCTAACGGTGAATCCGCAATCGGACAACAAGCAGAGAGACAAATTTGACACTTTACACGCCAGGAATGCATTTCCGTTAATATATTCAAGCAAACTACTACTAAACAACTTCGAACTAACTTTTCACCAGCGGTTTCGTGGTCCTTTATATATGTCGCAGCCAAGTGAGACAATCAGCCGACCAATTGCTCTAGTCGCGCCTTTTAATTAAATTGCGCCATTCAGTGTATAGGCTGACTCTCGAGCAACCGAATAACTGAACGAGACGTTCTACTAAATGACTGCACAAAGGTCAGATAATTGATTTTTCAACATCACTTCTTTTTATTATTCACCTTTGGTAATTTATAATTTTGACTAATCAAATATACTTTTTATGGATGTCAGACGGCACACCATCGGCCGGACCGGTGGTGAGCAGCCGCGCCGCGGAGTGCGTGCGGGGGTGGGCGCGGGGGCGGGGGTGGGGGCCGGGGGAGGGGGAGGGGGAGGGTGGCGCGCTGCCGCTGCTGCTGGTGCTGGCGTTGCTCGACTTCAGGTCCGAGGTGTGCCTCACCGACCCGCTCAGCCAGGAGGTGGGCGTCACTTCCGTGTTGTTATTTACACCTTATAGTTATTGGAACGAGGTTTAATATACATTTTAATCGCACGTTCGGTCGTCGTGAGGATTAGAAGACTCACCACACGCCACACTGTACCTTGTGTACGTATATGCGGGTGCAGAAGACAATATTATCGTTCACGAAGAATGTTATAAATTGTAGATCGAGTTCTGGCAACATTCTCACCGCCAGCACTTATTATTATGGCGTCGATTGCGATAACTTGTGTGCTAACCTATGTTACCTATAATTAAGAAATAATATGTCGAACCTCGCTGATGATTATAATAAAACACCAAGTGCATTATATCAGGCCGTTTAATTTATGCCACCACCACGCGTGTTATGTGAGGTGCGACAAACTGGCGACGAGTATTAAAGAAACAAGGTGGACATTTTGTTTAAGAAGGAAGTGGGCTTGTTGGTCACGTACAACAAGTCTAATCAAAGTAAGTGGATTTATTAACTATCTGTTATTCCTCGTTGTTACGTCTACGAGTTTATCATGGCAGAAGCAGATCAGCAACAGGTGTACCAATTAATTACACCCGCCAACGTACAAATGCCACCATTTGATGCAAGTAAATGCACGTGGAAAGTATATACACAAGTTTTTAAAAATAAGATGGTAGTTCACGACATCGATCAAGAAAAATGGGCCAGCTACCTAATCAGTTATGTAGGTTTTGAAATAGTCACATTGTTAAGCGAGTTATGTTACCCTGAAAACATTGAAAATAAAGATTACGATTATTTAGTGACTAAAGTAGACAATCATTTAGAACCTGCACCTTCAGAAATAGCAGAGACTTACAAATTCATGAAAAGGAATCAACAAGTAAATGAGACTGTGCTAGATTTTGTGGCAGCCTTAAAAAAATTAGCAAAGACTTGCAATTTTAATAATTATTTAGACCGAGCATTACGAGATAAATTCGTCCACGGATTAAATAACCAATCAATCATTAAGAGGTTATTTTCAGAAAAAGAGTTAAATTTTCAAAAAGCTGTTAGCATTGCTACTAATTTAGAGTTAGCAGAAAAAGGGTCTAAGTTGATCACTGAAAATAAAAATGACAATGTTAATGAGCAAGTCAATGAAACAAATGTTATAAAAAATAAAATGACAAATCATTTGATTTGCCATTGCTGTGGATATAAGGGACATATCAAGCCGGACTGTAAATTCATAAAGGAAACATGTCATAATTGCAAGAAGCAAGGACATTTAGCTTCAGTTTGCAAAAGTAAGCAGCCACTGAAAACAACTAACAAAACAAAAGGTAAACAGTTCCGTCCCAAGTCAAGAGTGGTTCGCGAGGTAGATGCGAATACTTTTAATGAAGAACAGTTCTCAGTATGCAGTATTAAATATGATGATGAATTTCAGTGTTATGAGGACTATATGTTGTGTGATTTATTCAGTGAAAATAAGGAAAGTGCTCAAGTAAAAACAGTAATAATTTCAAGTGCCAAACCTTCTCCGTGGGAGGTAATGTTAAACATTAATGATAAAGAACTTATTTTTGATATTGATACTGGTTCAGATGTAACATTATTACCACAATGTTTATTAAATAAGTGTTTCCCAAAATTGAACTTAGAAAAAACTAACATTAAATTAACTGGATATGGGGGTAAGTCAATTGAGGTTTTAGGTAAAGCTAAAGTTGAAGTAAAATTGAATAGTAAAACTTATTTAGCACCACTTATAATTGTGAAAATGGGTAATAAAGCCTTATTAGGGAGAAATTGGCTTAACTTTATTAAAATTGATTGGTCAAAAGTATCAAAAGGTAATCAAAGTTGTAATGTCAATACAGTAAAATATAATTCAAAAGAAAAACAAAATAAACTTCAGGAATTAATAAATAAATATGATGTATTCTCTACAGTTTCTGGTGAAATTAAAGGTCCAGTAGGTAAGCTTAGATTGAAAGAAAATGCAATTCCTAAAATATTTAAAGCACGCAGGATTCCCTATGCCCTACAAGGTATGGTAAAAAATGAATTAGATAAATTAGTTAAACAGGGTAAAATGACTAAAGTTAACAGTGATGAATATGTTGAATGGGCTACACCTATAGTTCCTATTGTGAAAAGTCCAACTAATATTAGAATTTGTGGTGACTATAAGGTTACTTTAAACCCATATTTAGATATTCAACAATACCCACTTCCAGTTATTGATGATATTTTTGCTAAGTTAAACTCAGATATGCAACCTATTAAAGTGTTCTCTAAAATTGATATTCGTAAAGCCTATATGAATCGTAGAATGGACAGTGAGTCTCAAAAGTTAATGACCTTAATTACACCTTGGGGGTTATACAAACCAAATTTTATGATGTTTGGTATTGCTTCTGCACCCCTAGATTGGCAGAATTTCATGAACAGTCAGTTCGGTAATATTCCTAATGTTTATTGTTATCTCGATGACATTTTAATAGCAAATAGTGATGATGATTCTCATATAAAAACATTAGAATTAGTACTGAAAAAGTTGAGTGACTTAAATATTAAGGTAAATAAAGAAAAAACAGTGTTAATGTCACATCAGTTAGAATATTGCGGTCATATCATTGATCAAGATGGTCTGCATAAAACACCAAACCATATTAAGGCAATTGTTGGGGCACCAGAACCTACTAATGTCAAAGAGCTAAAAAGTTTCTTAGGCACTGTGAATTTTTACAATAAATTTATGAAAAATGCTGCAAAACATTTACATATTTTGTACAATTTATTAAAGAAAAATACACCATGGAAATGGACAAGTGAACATATGAAAGCATTTAAATGGGCTAAAGATATCATAGCTTCAGATCAAGTATTAATTCATTACAATCCTAAGTTGCCATTGATTTTAAGTTGTGATTCTTCAAGATATGGGTTAGGTGCTTGTTTATCACATGAAGTAATAGATCAAAAAACTGGTAAATTAGTGGAAAGACCTATAGCTTTCTCAAGTAGAACATTAACAGAAACTGAAATAAAATATTCACAGATTGATAAAGAAGCACTTGCCATAATATGGGCAGTCAAAAAGTATGATTTATATTTGAAAGGCAGGGAATTTACTCTCATTTCTGACCATAAGCCATTGGTATCATTGTTTAATCCGAATAAGACATTAGGATCCATATATGCAGATAGAATGACCAGATGGGCATTAATTTTGTGCAATTATAATTATAAAATTAAATATAGAAGTTCTTTGTTAAACGCTAATGCTGATTTCCCATCACGGTTACCCTTGCCTGTTAATTGTATAGATACTGTAGATGATGATGACAGTCCTATGTTTAATAGCAAATTCATTGATTGTCCTCCAGTGACTGAAACAGAGATAGCAAAGGCTACACAAAAAGATATTGTACTTAGTAAATTGTATACTTACATTGAGCAAGGTTGGCCAAAGTCACTACCTTCAGAATTGTTACCATATAAAGGAAAGGAACTTGAATTTCATATTGTAAAGGGTTGTATTATTTGGCGTAATCGCACTGTCATACCACATAGCTTAAGAAATAAATTGTTATCAGAGCTACATTCAGGACATTTGGGTACTAACAAAATGAAAGAAATGGCTAAAAGTTTCTTTTGGTGGCCAAAGTTGAATGAACAAATTGAACAGATTACTAACAATTGTAATGGATGTATTCAAGTAAGAAATAAACCAAATCAACATCCACTTCATAGCTGGGAATGGCCCCAAAAACCATGGCAAAGAATTCACGCTGACTTTGCCGGACCTTTTATGGGTTCTATGTGGCTTATAGTTATAGATTCACACTCCAAATGGCCTGAAATAGTTCGTTTAAAGAAAACAACTTCAGATATTACTATAAAAGCCTTAAGAGCTATATTTGCACGTTTTGGCCTGCCAGAACAACTTGTTACAGATAATGGTCCACAATGGACTTCTGAGGAAATGTATAATTTTTGTAAAAATAATAATATTAGGCACACTTTCACTGCCCCTTATCATCCTGCTAGTAACGGACAGGCCGAACGAGGCGTACTGGGTTCGGATCCCATCCTCGTCGCCAGTTTGTCGCACCTCACATAACACGCGTGGTGGTGGCATAAATTAAACGGCCTGATATAATGCACTTAGTGTTTTATTATAATCATCAGCGAGGTTCGACATATTATTTCTTAATTATAGGTAACATAGGTTAGCACACAAGTTATCGCAATCGACGCCATAATAATAAGTGCTGGCGGTGAGAATGTTGCCAGAACTCGATCTACAATTTATAACAAAGAATGAACGCGTTAAATCCTCATTGTCAGGGTAACTGTAATGCCTGTCGCATTCTCTAACATATCTTCTCAAAAAACAACATGAACGAGCCATTTGGAGCTGTTTGTGACATCAAAATATATAATTTTCCCATATATCAGTGGCGTAGCGTGGGTGTCGCCTCTCTTAATTAGTATTTTATATAATTATACTATGTATTATATTCGTTAATTTTAAATAATTTATCGGTAAGAACTGTCATCATTATTTGTACTATACAGGTTAGATTTAGTGTAGTTGTCGCCATACAACTTCCCACGGATCGAGTGTTGTGGGTTCGATCCCCACAAAGGACAATTCTTAGTGTGATTTACAATTAATTGTTCTTAGTCTTGGTGTACTTTATCCCTCGCAACACAGGACTTGTATCCCAAAAAGAGGGCTTATCTTTAAAAAAATGAAATAAACAACTTAAGATTCACGAATTAAACTTTCTTTGAATTTCTTTGAAAAATAAACAATATTAAACTTAACATATACGTAATAGAAGTCATCGCTGATTATATGTCATAAACAATCCAAGCACAAAACAAAACACGGGGAATCCCCGTAAGTCAGTATAGATGGTGTTGCCATTGGCTACAAAATATCATTTAAAGAAATAGTATTCTCCGAATTCGTCACAGAATAATAAATGAAAAATTATGTGCTCTTTTCATTCGGTCCGAATTTATAGTTAGGTTAAAAATATGAATTGATTCAAATATTTAAAAAATATATTTAACGTTTACTCTACAAAATTTCCGCCCCCTAAAAAGTACCGCCCAGCTTACGCTACGCCCCTGCCATATATACTTTCCTATATATTATTAGTGTAGATTAGCACGTTTAATATAAACAAAATAAATAGGGATGACGACTAATTTTTGTTTGTTTGTCTGTCAGGTAGAGTTTTAAAAAATATTAAACACGTATTTTTTATTTTTTCGTATCATAAAATTACGGCGATACATGGAGTTGAAATTTCGCATGACGTCACGTTATGGTACGTTTTCTACAAAAATGTGACGTAGCGAGCTCCCACTCCTAAACTTTAATGCCTGTTATCTAAGCTATTTCTTGTTAAATTGAAGTAAAAAAAATATGTATCTAGTATTTTTCTATTATCTGACTGACGGGACTAAATAGAATAGATTTTTTTTTTTTACCTATTCATCCCTTTTGCTATAAGATACGCTCAATTGTATCAAGTGGCGGCAATTTATTAAAAGCTCGCTCACATGTAAAAAATAATTTCCAGTGTCGGGTGTTCGATCAAAACGAACGCTACAATATACATCTGGAGGAGACGGTGTGGACGAGCGAGTGCGCAGATATTATAGTATCCATGTGCCACGACGAGGACGTCGTGCGCCGCGTACGCCGCGTACGCCGCGTGCTGGAGGAGCCCGTGTATCGCGGGACTATACGTACACTGTGCAATCATAATGTAACATTATTTGAAAAAATGCTCGACGATCCCAGTTTAATGCACAAAAACGACCTTATAAATCCTAAAATAGAATTGTTTGTAAATAAATTATTGTGCAAAGATTCAATTTAAGTTATAACTTTTATTATAAATAATTAATTCAAATAAAAGAAATTGTATAAACATGGTATATTTTATTTACAAATCGTTATCTATATATCTATTAATATGGATGATTTAGTCAATGAGTTTACAATATGTTATTTACAAATGTAATATAAACATATCGCCTTAGTGAACTGTACCAATTCAATCATAAGCATACATCTTAGGGAGGAATTTCTCGGTTACACCAATCAAAACAATATTTACACTCGGATCACCTGTTTTTCACATGGCATATTTTAAACTGCAAATAGAAAATGTAACACACCATATATTATAATATTTTGTTTCTCTGAATTCTGTACACCTCGCTGGCTACCTGTCTGTTTTTAAATCTACTAGTTTCTTTCGTCTTTTCGGGCTCTCTCTGCATCTGCGCTTTCATTTCTCTGACACTATTCTCTACATCTCGATCACTCTTCTCTGTCAGTCTTTGTAATTTTCTCTTTATACTATTCTCAGAGTTAGTTTCGTCGGGCTCTCGGAAGAGATCTTTCACAGACACTAATCTATGGGAATTTCCCATTCTCACTAACTTCTTCAAGTTTCTCGCTGCTTTTTTCTCTATGATCCCGAGGAGACCCCAATCGTCTGACTTCGATCCCTCCAACTCCGCTTCCAGCTGCCACGCGGCGTTTCTTATTTCGACTTGCAATCTTTGGCATTCCTCGTAGCTGACGTTTCTGCTCACATTCATAGTCGGATCCAGAGGGTTGATTATGTACAGAGGCTGCGAGTTAGGTTTCCTGACCGCGATGCCCTCGTTGACGGAGATAGCTTTCTCCTGGAAGTCGAACTGGGCGTAAAATTCGAAGAACTGCAACAGCAGCGTCTCCAGGTCAGCAGACGGCGGGCCGCAGTACTCCGCGGGCAGCTCGCGCGTGCGCCGGAACACCGAGCTGTCCACGCTCTCTTCGGAAATGTTCTTCTTATCTGGAAACAGAAGCAGATTTGGACGATATACATCACGATTTTCAGATAGCTAGTTGTATTTAAAAAATGTCGTAATCTAAAATTTGTGAAAAGATCATCGCTTAAATATACAAATAAATTCATAAAGAAATAGTACAAATTCGAAATATTGGCTTTAAAATAAGAACATTGGTATGTGGCCTATGCATTTTTCATCAATATACATAATAGTATTTTTTTTTTCCAAAAATAGAACCGTCTTTATATATTGCAGTTTTTCGACTATCATTTAAATAAGATACACAAAAACCTCCCCCAACTTTATTAGCAGTTTTTTGAATAAGTCGCTTTTAAGATAAGGGTTATGTCTCTTTTTTTTAAGTTTGAAGTTGGTTATATTAAAAAAAATATTTCATGCTTTTTAAACGTGTTGATATTCTTTATATAGGTATAATGTTTTATCAAAAATTTGAACACTGGTGTAGTGATTCGTGTTCTCGATAACAAAGCCGTCTGCATGAACATGTAGGTTTGTATCGATCTGGGTGTTTTATATGAATATTGAGTATCTACTTACAACAAAACTATTTAAAACAAAAGATGCATTCCCTAAAAGTCACGAAGTTAAACCACAAAACTGAATTACTTAAATTAGTGATTGAATATTTAATAGAGATAAGGATGGAATACACCATAGACTTCGGATCTAGTCAAATAAAATCTCAACATGTTACAGTCAATTTTGCAAGTTTTCTCAGACAAGACTCCCTAATTTTGAACTGGTGGTAGTTCATTGTAGTCAAGGGCAACTAAACAAACAATAAATTAAGTAATTTAAATATTTTGTAATAGTAATTTAGTAAATACAAACATTTCCATATTGTAACATTTTGGTATTGAGGATATATCTAATAAGTATATTTTGAAGGCAGTTTTGTTCTTAATCATAAAAAGTTATGTTTAATTCTTAATCATAAAAAGTTATGTTTAATTCTTAATTTTTTAATTATATTGTGTGCAAAGATATTAGAGAGGTTATATAATTCATTATAACATTAAAATCCTCCCACCTCCCTAAATAGGAGATCATACAACTTCCTAAAAACTGTTCTAAATTTGTCAGTATGTGTGCTAATTTCCAAAAATAATATTATTTGATGTAAATTTAACCTTAATTATGTAACCAAAACAATATTTAAATTTTAAATGAAAAGCGTAAACTGGGGATGTGACGTAATTTGTGGGGTAAACAAAAAGAAATATAGTATTCAGTACGTATAGTCCAACTCATATATAAATAATACAGTTGACTGACCCTAGATGCTTAAAAAATTTTAAAAACATTTTGTACTTTGAATGTTTCCCGAGCTTTTCCTAGATTACTACCAATTTACTATGAGGTCACACAGACTAAAAAAGAAAATTATAATCATAAAATTAATTGGAAAATTATATGTTTATTCATTGATTTAGAAAATAGAAACAACTATTATTTAGCGTAAATATTCAGCGAACTCAATACTTATTTAGTTTCGGAGCTCTGTTGTCTCCTAAAGTATTATCGCCGTACCATATACCATAGTCCACCTAATATAGCGACAACCAAGGAACATAATATGTAAGAGTATTGTTTTAGTATGCGAAGTGATTGTTCGAAGGCGATTATTGTTGTTTGAAGATATAACAATAAATATATTAAATATCTGTATTAAATATATGTCAACATAGTGAATCAAAGCACTCATTTGCTCCATATTTTTTTCTATACATATCTATACTCATTTTATAAAGAGGAACGATTCGTTTGTTTGCATCGGATTGTTATCTCAGTAATAAGGTGATGTTTGATGAAAACTATATTGAAGAAAAGAAGGAGATTGAAAAAAGCATATTTTTGTTATGAAAAAAAAACTACCGATTCGATTTCGATAAAAACTAAATGAGGCTCGGCCATCGAGCTTTTCGATAAAAGTAGAATTCAGAAAATCGGTGAACTACTCACGAATTAGGTTAAAATTTTGAAGTCTGTTATGAAGCAAAAAATCGGGTATATCAATTCTTTTAAAATCCACTGGGGGATTTTCGATTTTTTATTCTATCGATCCCTCCCGAATTCGAGGTCACCTACGGTCGAAAATAAAAAAGACAAGAGCGGCAACCGACCGGACGGGTACCGGAGGCGGTCGAGCGGGGGCAGCGGCGGCGGCAGCGCGGCGGCGGCGCGCGGGCGCTGCTGCAGGAAGAACAGCACCAGCAGCGTGAGCGGGAAGTTGGTGATCCAGCGGCCCGGCGCCGCGCTGGTCAGCCCCGCGCCCGCCGCCCAGCGCCGCGCCGCCGCCGCCAGCGCCCGCGCCGGCAACCGCCCCGCGCCCAGCGCGCGCAGCGCCGCCGACATGTCCACGCCCGACCTGCGACGATCGTTCTACGTATTATTCTACGCTTTCTGAGGTACTCGATAACTCTTAGAATTGCGTTTCTGAACATAGAAAGTGGTATAATTCATACGAGTCGGACGGAGTCGGATACGGAAGTGATGGAGTTTATTTCTATCATATCTATACTGAGTCCGGGAAACTAAAAAGAAATTTGACTGTAGTTCTTATTTTTAGTTCATCCTTACTTTAGTTTAAAAACACAAACGAACGGGCCCAGGATATAATTTAGCCAACTTCAATGTGATCTTGTTATTTTTTATCCGAGGTATTATAAAAGGAAGACTTATGAAAATTATTCCCCGTAAACAAGTCTCATGGCGAGCTACTCAGTATTCTCCCAAACCTAGCAAGGGGAAAGTAGCTCGGTGGCGTAGCGGATGAGCGCCGCCGCCCGCGATTATTGTTGTTAAGCAACTTTCGCAAAGGTCGGTCATGAGATGGGTGACAAAAATTATCATCTCGACCTGATCCCTGATACTTTTTTGTAAGGATGTACGTTTTCGTCCTTCGGCATTACATACAGACGCTGACAAATAACTTATTTTAATATTTTTACACTTAAATAGCATTTGATAACTCATTTAACTTAAAAAAAAAACTATTATCGCAAATAAAACATGTACTAAGTGCAAAATAAAATCAAATTTAAAAAAGTCAAATTTAGGTCGCTTCCTTGAAGAGTTTCATCTAGTGGTAAATTTAGGAACTACTTATTGGTTACATAGTTATCGAGTAGTTCGTTGCGTGTTCAGAAACGCAGTGACAGTTAAGCCGAGTTTATCTTCTCCGTAACTTTAATGGAGCGATAACTATTGAGAACTCAACTGAAGCCCTCAGAAACCGGGCAGAAATCGACGAAAGCATTAGGCGAGCTGTCGTTACGTGTTATTGATGCAGAGGTCGCACTCGACGGCGGCGAAGTCGTGCGTGAACTTGACGATGGGCACGCGCGCGTGCAGCACGCGCAGCACCCGCGCCGCGCCGGCCGCGCGCGCCTCCACCACCTCCGCCGCCAGCTCCAGCTGCCGCCGCCACGAGCCGCGCCCGTCCGAGCACCGCTTCTCCTGGTACACGAGTCGCTTGCGAGGGTCCACCTTTAACCGTAGCCGTTGGGATGAGAAAAACGATTATACATAGGTCATTTTTACGCTGAAGTATATACTCGGAAGATGTACCATTTCATCGGTGACGGAGTTAGTCAATACTAAATCCAGATCGCAGCCCATCTTGCCGAAACCGTTCACAGATGAACCGAACGGCTGCACTTGGACGTTTGCGTACAGGCTATCGAATATTACTTCTAGCTGAAAAGTTCCACATTGTTATATACAAAAAATATATATTTGTTCTGTAATAACTAAAATTAAATGTGATGCTTACGTGTCTAGCGACCATATACCGGAGTCTCACACCCAAGTCATTCAATTTAGTTCTATCGTACAATAGTTGTATTTGATCAGACACGGAGGAGCACTCCGCGAGCTCTTTGTACAGGACTGCCTCGTCGACTATGGCGTTACCGTCTTTTATTACAAGAGATTGTGTTTGTGCAGCGACGAGTTTCTCTTTCTTGCCACTGACGGCTCTGAACCACAAAAAAGGTGAATGTAAAGCCATAACGTCCACATTTTTCTGGTGAGAACCGCAGGTCTGTAAAACATCTTTGAGGCACTCTTCAGATTTAAATTCGACTAGCATGAAATGCTGAAAAACAATTTTTACAAAACAAATTAGGTAAGCTATAACGTACATAGGTAAGCTATTACGTATATAGGCAAGCTATTACGTATATAGGTAAGCTATGATGTTTTATATAAGCCTTGTTATATTGAAGAGTTGAAATTTTTACCTCTCCTTCAGTATTTCTATAATGATGTACACCGTGTACCTCCGCATATTTTGAGCAGTAACAGTACAGTTCGTTGAATGAAGATTCTGAGTTTACTTGAACTACAATACTACGTTTTGACTCCGCTCGTCTCTGCGCAACGACATCGTCGAAAGAAGCGAATTTTTTTGGATTTTCTGAAAAATTTTAAAGTAACCTCGAAATCATCTTGATAGAACGAAAAGTAACACCTAACCCAAAATTTTGTACCTGAATATTTCCTCACTGACAAACATTTACATTTAGAAAGTGATGCACGTAATGATTTATTGAGTGAGTAAAGTTTTCCAGTATTTATAACAGTTTGAAATAATACGGACATTTCGAAGCAATATAAAAAATTAACTTCACCCTGACACTAATATTATTACTAGAGATGTGGCATTAATTTAGATCCGTAACTAATACATATCGATCACAGACTTAGTAGGTATCAGACGACCAACTTCCTAGCAAAAAATTTCTTCGTAGAACGTGATTGGGAGCCAGTGATACATGACAGCTTCATTCGTTTTAAATATATAGATCTACTATCGGCAAAGGCATTTAGCTATACAGCCCTGTTTTGGGTAGGTACCTAGGCGTCTTCCTAGTTTCCACATTATTTTCACTTTAATTAAAATTCCTTTTTTGTTTTAATACAACATTAACAATAAAGCATACTGATAAGTCTAGCTTATTATTATTGTTGTATTAAAACAAAAAAGGAAAAATGAACACGTAAATAAAACACACATTTTCCCATTATTATTTATTGAATAATTAATTTTTTAACTTATTATATTTTTCACAGCTCTCTTCTGCATTCTCGGCAATTCCTAGCTACGTTTTTTTAGTGGCACAACCTTATGAAACTTTTCAAGGTAATCACAATTTTTTTTAAAGAGGGCACTGATTTTTGCATACCTTTTTATACACATATTTGAGTTTTCCTAAAATTTCAATTGCCTTTGGCCAGAAAGAATGATGGTGTGTCTTATCTGTCACAGCTCTTTTCCTTTATGCTTTTTTTGTTTATCAATGCTCCATTGACACTATCAAATAATTGGTCAAAGAATGAAACAACTTCAGCTGCATTTCTTAATGTTGTGCACATCCTCATAAGTTGCTGCAAATTAAAATATTCATATAATAATTGTATGAAACTTGATTCAAAACAATTAACTGTTAGTAAATTTCATCTAATACTCACAGAAATTTGCAGAGTAAGACAAAGCTGCAGACATATTTTTACACAATTTTTTACCTGCAAAAAGAGATATCATATTTAAAATTATCTTCATTAGAGAATCATTATTGTAATTTAAGTGTTTAAAGTTTCTATATTAACAACTTGTTACATAATTAAAAATACAGGTCATTGAATCAACACTTCCTCTGATAGAGAATATAGAAGCTGAATACAAATTATTTATTTTATTTATACTAATTTAAGTTATACTAATATAATAACCAATGCATTACCTTCATCTTTTTAATTTTATCAGGTATAACTCATTGGTCATTTAATTTATGACATAGCCCAGCTTCAGTGTGTTGACAGTCTGTCTCATAGACATAAATAATATCATGCCACTTTGCAAGTTCACCACCAAAATTATTCCTGATACATTTTATCAAGTGTGTAGAATCATAATGTTCAAATCCACCCCACATATTTTAAGAATGCCAACTGAAACAAAAATTTAAGAACTTCTTAAAACATAGATAACAATATAAAAATAAGAACCTACACTACTTTCATTAAATCTATTAGTTTTCTTTCATATAAATATAATTCTCTGTACCAACCTGTGATTTCAATTTAAAATTTGATCACACTAAGTGTCTTCTTTTAGATTTTTGAGTGCTGATTGGAAAACTGAGCCTTGGTCATATATTATTGGGATTCAAAAACTTTTTCTACTACTAACTTTAAAATAGTCTTGATGTACAGTAGATGTCGCTCCTTGACAGAAATAAATAAACATAAAGGCTGATTGTTTGTAAAGAGTATGATCTGCAAAATCCACTTTCTTGTCTTAGTGTTCTACAAATCCATTAATGTTATCTATAATCCTTATTAAATTTATTATACGAAAGTGCTGTTTCTAATGACATCTCATCAAATATAATGGAGCATATTTTTTTGGAGTTTCATTTGTCCACCTGAAAAAGTAAATTCAAATAGTAGTAGAAAAAGTAAATATTATTATTTGGTAGTAATACATCAAATTATAAAAGTAGTATGAAAAAACTTATATGGAATATATTTACCTCTTACATGAAGCCTGGTTCTATGATCAATTTTCGAATCATAGTATTCAGTGTAGTTTTGGATGATAAAATAAAAAATTTTGCTTAAAAATCAATAACACTTTGGACTCTGCTTTGATATTGATAAAGCAATTATCTTTTCTTCAGTAGTGAATCACCTCTCATGTTTATTTTTAGAGCACATGCTCACATGCATTTCAAAAACAGTTTTTGCAACTGTGTTAATTTTATGTCTGAACTTCTCAAATGATAACTTTTTACAAAACTTAAAGGTATTTAAGTATTCTTAACTTTTTTAAGAAAGTTAAACTATGTCTTTGCTTGTTATAATCTTCATAAATTCTCTGGTATAAAGGTGACAATTGGCTTTATTTGCTAATAAGCCTTTTCCTTTTTCGTTTGGGTACATTTCACAGGGTCTGTAATGTCAAAAGTATTCAGTGAATTTCTCTTTTAGAACTACTATTTGATTGAAATAAAGATACACTAAAGAAAGAGACAGGTCTTACCAGATAGTTTGTGTCATATTTTAATCTCCAGAGCAAGCAACTAATTGAGTAAACTCAGTGGCTGCAGACACAGGAGTCTCAATTTGTTCTTTTAAAATTACACCACCTATGAAATCAATATTGATTATGTGTGTAAGATTAAAAAACAGGATATAATCTTAGATGATATTAGAAATATGTTATTTATATTATCAATTTTTTCTTTGATCAAAATCACTTCAAGCGTGCCTGCTACAGTTAAGTAACTTAATGTAATTTTTCTTTATGTGTGTAAGAAAGAGAGATCTACTAGACTTTTTTAAAGCAAAAATCTATATTAAAATACACCAAAACTGCAGCATGTACTTTGTTATCTAAATAAAATAAATTAAAAACAAACCTCTGTTCAGTTCCACTTTCTAATATGTGTGGTCAACATGACTTTTTCTTGCATAGCTGTGTTCCCAAGTGAATATAATTTCTGTAATAAAAAAAATCAAATGAAGAATAGCGGTATTCCAAAACACAAGATTAAGTGAAGATACATATCATTTTAATTACATTATCTAAAGGTAATAGCAGATTAAACCAGCCTTACCAGTATTGCTTGAAGAGGGTAGGCTGATTGAGAGCCCATCATCATTAAACAATGACGGATATGCATCACCCAAGAGTCATGATTTTGGAGTGATGAATCTTGGTACATCGTGTTTGCTACAAATGACACTTCTGCCTGGATGACACTTCTGAAAATTTTCAGTATCATACACAGCACTAAGACATTGTAACCACTTGGAGAATCTTTTCTCGTTCACTAGAATCTTACAAAGAATAGCGTCCTGTTCGTACTTTAACAATGCGTGTAACACAACCATAACACAAGACACCAATTTCTTAGGCATCTTCTACAAATAAAAATACTTCGAAAAATGGAGAGTTTATATTACAAATAAAGCGAACAGGGTAAGCACAAAAAAAAACTTTACTCAATCACTTGTAATTCCCTGATATGTAGGTACATACTTTAGTCTTCTTCTTCTTTTATTAATGGCATATCTGCGCATTTCACACAATTTTGCCAATGTGAAATGAATAAATTAATTCCAACAAGTAAAATTAATTAAAGATTAATTAAAACATTAGTATCTTTACTCTTTGTTGTAATGACAGTTTCTGTCAGGTGTCATGTCTCCATCTACTGACAGGGGTGAGGGGCGTGTGGAAATGTCATACATCACTGGACCCCTACGCGATTGGTTTATTGTACGGAGTTGATGGGCCGTGATATCGATATCAAAGACGGCGACATCTATATAGAAAAATGACAACATAAGTACGTAGGCGGGATGGTATATTACCGTTCTCTATGGCGGGATGATAAATAGCTAGCCCAACCCATATTTTGTATAATAACGATATAAAATCTCTTTAGTATTTTACTCATTGCTTCATTAGCTCAGGACGTCCAAAATGTGCCACTAATCAAAATTCATGATGCAGTTTTAGCTGACCGAAGATTGAAACTTTCCGAAATAGCTGATACTGTAGGCATCTCTAAAGAACGGGCGCATTACATTTTGACTCAAGAATTATGTATGCAAAAATTATCCGCAAGGTGGGTGCCGCGATTGCTTACAGTTGACCAAAAACGCGTTCGTATGCAAATTTCACATGAATGTTTGGACCGCTTTACTCTTAGTCTTAAACATTCTATGTATTGCTCTCAATACAACTGATTTTCTGCGACGGTTTGTTACTACTATATAGGTACCTGAATCAAAAATTCAGTCTAAACAATGGACGGTAAAAGAATCCCCGGCTCCAAAGAAAGCAAAAGCCGTGAAATCAGCGGAGAAAGTCATGGCGTCCGTATTTTGGGATTCGAAGAGTATATTGATGATTGATTACCTTCCAAAAGGACAAAACATAAATGGCGAATATTATGCTGATCTACTGGATAAATTACAAGTGTGTATTAGTGAAAAAAGATCCGGCCTGGCTAAAAAAAATCTCTCATCAGGATAATGCGCGCGTTCACGCGTGCATCACTGCGATGGCGAAATTCAAAGAATTAAATTATGATTTGCTACCACACCCAGCTTATTCTCCTGGCACCATCTAACTTTCATCTATTCCCTAAGCTCAAACATTTTTTAGGTGGACAAAGATTTGAAAATAATGGCGAGGTGATGTCTGCCGTGGACAGTTATTTTGAAGGGCTTGAAGAAAACCACTTCAGGGATGGCATCAAGGCTTTAGAGCATAGATGGATGAAGTGCATAGCGCTTCAAGGAGACTTTGTCGAAAAATAAATATACTTTGAACACATTAATTCAAGTTTTTCTATGCTAGGCTAGCTATTTATCATCCCGCCCTCGTCATCATCATCATCATCATCAGCCCTTTTACGTCCCCACTGCAGGGGCTCAGGCCTTCCTTATGGATGGATAAGGAGGATGGGCCATGACCCTCCACGCTGGCCCAATGCGGATTGGAGGGTATTAACGACTGCAAATGCAGCCGGGACCAATGGCTTAACGTGCCTTCCGAAGCACGGAGTAGCTCGAGATAATAATTTTTTGGTCACCCATCCCGTGACCGACCTTTGCGAAAGTTGCTTAACGACTACGATCGCGGGCCGCGGCGCTTATCCACTACGCCAACGAGCTAATCCCGCCCTCGTATCATAACATAATCACAAATGGAGTCTAAAGTAAAAGTAATATCAGTTCGGCATTTGGCATCCATTTTTATTGCTTTATTTCAAAGACTGAGGACGGATCTAATTTGACCTATACCTGTATCTGAAAAAAAAATTTTTGTTTGTTCATTATTTATTTGATCCTAGATATGCAATAAAAACACCCAGAAGCGTTTAACCAAAGATACAGTAAAGTTAAGACAGGAGACAATTTAAAAGAAGACTTGTATGTATAGGCTAAGATTCTTTTGCCTAAATTAAATAAAACTGTTCCAAAATTTGACAATAAGTTTTGAGGTTATAATCATAGAAAAAGTTTTTCAAATCTTAAAAGTACACCCCAGTACACCCAATAAACCTATGAAAGAAACTGAAGTTAATATTTATTTTCAAGAATGGGGACTCGAATTTTACAAAGAGTTATTGCGCCTGCTTTAATAAACTCGTTTAAACCATATCGACATAATGTTACACAAGTTAAGGAAAGGGTAGTTTGTCTCAATACAGCATTAAACAAATCTATTATTAGAACTTATGCTAAGAGCAAAGACAGGGGGAAGGATAAAAAGGATAAAGGATTGAAAGTACAAGTGGACCCAATGTTAATGTCGGAACTCATTCCAGTAGATAAAATGAAAGAAAGATGCATTGCCACAATTGACAGAATGAAGGAAGATTATGCAAAAAACTTATCACTACGTTCCACAACAGGCTCTATAGAGTCCTTGATAGTGAAATTTGAAGGAAAAGACCATGAACTACAAGAATTAGCCCAAATCATTCGTAAGAACCCAAAAACTATGGTAATTAACTTTGCCTCATTCCCTCAAGCAATACCTCATGCCTTAAAAGCAATTCACAGTTCTGGACTTAATTTAAACCCACAGCAAGATGGAACAACTCTTTATGTACCTGTGCCAAAAGTCACTAAAGAACATAGAGAGGCATTAGCAAAAAATGCTAAAGCTTTGTACATAAAATGTAGGGATGCCCTGAAAGATGTACAAAATGATTTTATTAAAAAAGCTAAAAAACACACAAGTGTATCGGAAGATTTAGTATTCAGTGTAACAAAACAAATCATAGCTTTTTGTGATGAATATCAAAGTAAAGCAAAGAATATTTATGAAACAAAGCATAATGAACTTGTTGGAAAATAATTGGCTATAATAATTTTAATTATATTGCATCAATTTTTTGTATTTAAATCTGGTTCATATCATAATCATCTTTTGTGTACTGTTACAATTGGTATCCAGCATAGCAAACATTAAAGCAGGCAATAAAATATTGTTAATTGAATAATTACCTAATCCTTAAGCAATCATAGTGTGATACAACAAAGTTTATCTAAAACATATTTATTTTCTTGATGATTATTGTTAATCTATATTATTGATTATAGATTTTGTGATTGTAATCTGATTGGTTACACTATGTTCTTCAGCAAGAACATACTAATAAATGGTATTTTGCATTAAACAGTGACTTTTGTTGTATTTTTGATACTTCAAGTGTTACTTAAAAAGAAGAAATTAAAAGTTCATGTGAGATCCCATGCAGAGCAGGTTTAACCCTATCAGGGGCCCTAGGCAATCTAATTTTATGGGCCATTGTTGAAATGTTTATCTTATTAGTCCCTTATTTAGCAGTCCCTTCGTCTTAAACAATAGTCTCTGAGGAACTGATAGGCTGACGTTAGTTTAATACCGCCACAACTAAAATCTGTATTTCAGTTCAGAAAACTTTCCAGATCACACTAATTCCCTATTTTTCAGTCTAGAATATAATCAGTCAGTTCTAAACTATAGTACATAAAACATTCTAAGAAAACGAAACGCATTTGATGATAAAACATTGGAACTTGATTTCTTGCTAGCATACCACATAATAAACTATATACGCAAGAGGTCTCAGTAAACACATAGTATTTTAACGCTCTGGAATATTCTAGTATCTTATTTTTGTGACGAAATACTGTTATAATGCCGGAATCGGAATAACTATGAATAAAAGATGTATGTATTTATATATATCCACTTACTGAATTCTATCAACAGATAGAAAGCACTACAGTATGTTTGCTATGGTTTTACTGTTTGGATATGGCTGTATGAATTAAGTTTTTTTGCCTTCATAAACAAAACAATAAACCTAACAAACCATAGAGAAATTATTTTATAAGCATGGATCATAGAGAAAATAAAATTATGACAACAAATGGGCATAACAATTCATGAACAGATTGAAAATCAAAGTTTCAAACAAATGGATTTACAAACGAAACGACACGGAAACAAGTATGATAGAGTGATGTCTCGTGTGAATAACCGATCAAGAAATACATTAAAGTCTACTTCACTCGTTACTCGACATGAAAGGCCCTCAACTGTTTCTGTTGGCGCCAAACCATCTGTTTCGAACGTTAGTTCTTCTTTGTTCAGTGAACTTCCCCTTGTATTGAATGATTACTCTCCTAAAGTGCCATCACGACAAAAGTTTTTAGTGAAACCTAGGCGGACTATACCTTCCTTAAATCCTTCAACGTCACCTCATCGCCATTTGTCCGTTACCAAAAATATTACCCAAACAGTACCAAAGATTAAAGTTAAGGGTTCTGCACCGGTTATTTCAAATAGTGATAGTGAAAACTGGGCCGATACACACCTCAGGCAGTGTTACTCAAGTAGATCGCATTGTAGATTAAAGGAGTTAAAAGTAAGTCATAGGATAGTATCAATTTTAAAAATGAATATTAAAAAAGAAACCTATACTTACTTGTCAAGGTTTCCTGTAGATAGTTTCTAATTAATATATTCATTTCCAGGATGAGATTAAAGCATATCGTGATACAGAAAAACAGATGAAATTGCGTGCTCGATTATATAAAAGCTGTGGTGTAATACTGAATGAAGAGGGTCATGTGGCAGCAGACAAAGCGGTCCAGGTACAAGAGTTGGACACCAAAGAATCAGGTATAGCATTCAAAGCAACAATAACATTATATTTTCAATTTAATAATATTCGGTTTAAGCTTAACTGAATTGTATATTCAGCTGAATTATTCAATTTACCATTTCATTTGTTTTTATTTAGCCAGAGTTGTTCTCAGTGCTCCTGGTAGTAAATTGTGTGTATAGCGAACAATTATTTCACAAGCAAGCATCCTATATGAAGAAATATGTAACACTCTTGACACTCTTATGGTGTATATTTTTGTCAATTTGCCCCTTAAATACATTAAGTTTAAAAATGTTGAATTAAGTTTGTAAAATAAATATTTTTGATTTCATAGGATATTTTTACTTAATAAAACATAATCTTACAAAATATTTTTTTTTTCTTTTAGTTCTATACTGTGTTGTGAATATTTGGCTGAATACAAACATTAAAAAAGATGACGAATATGCTGAATACTGAATATCGAATGAATATTCGGTGTATGTCTAGTTTTTATAAACTATAGGAATTACTCTTCTTATAATTTTTTATACAAAAATCACACCACTAACATTGGTGTGTACCAGGAGGCACCTAAAAAATCTTATCTAAATAAAATCTTATCATGCTTTTCATAATTTTTTTTATTTAAATTTTTTGCACTGTTGAACTAAAGAACTTCTCCTAAAATCTTAGTACTATACACAATATTGTTAATTATTAACTAGTTTATGATTTTAGATGAATAATAATGTTATACCTTGGGTTAAGCAAGTGAGAATGTGGTTTGAAAGATCTTGCCTAGATGGCACTACTAGCTACAAAAATAAGTTTTTTTGAATAGGAATGTGAATGTTGCATACATAGTTAAGTTTTCAGTCATAAATTGTTACTTCACCAAACAATATATTTACTATAAAGTAAATTTATTTTTGATTTGGATTGTTTCCCTGTATCTGCAAAAGTGTTTATATTTTTTAACACCTTCAACACCAGCCGAAATAGCTCAGTTGGGAGAGCGTTAGACTGAAGATCTAAAGGTCCCTGGTTCGATCCCGGGTTTCGGCATTCTTTTTTGAATTATATTATTTTTCTTTTACAGATAAGGGGCAGGACACTGACAGGTATGATTCAAAATGTACCTAATAACTTATAATAAGTACTTAGATACTATGTGTATTAAAGCCAGAAACATCATGGATTTAGTATTCACATTATTGTTTTTATTTTAGATGTCTGAATGGCCTTAATTTTATTTTTCTTTAATGAAAGAAAATATGTGAAACAAATTTTCCATTATCCATATTTCCAGAGATAATAATTAATATAACTTCTCATTTTACATAAAAGAGATAAAGAAAACTAGGGAAACTTTTTAAAATCAAAAACATTTTACAAGATACATTAATTTTAGGATAGCTACTACTTTTTTAAACAGATAAGTTTTGTGAGAAGTGCCTTGACGTTTCTTCATAACGACACATTTACATTGAATGCCGCATATAGATTGCGATTGACTCATTTCATTTACCAATAAACCAATGAAAATGAGCCAGAGAAGTCACTCTCATTTCGCATGCCGCACATAGAGCTATGTAAATGAGCCATAAAATGCGTAAATTGCTGTCCGTACTGGCATATAGAAGGGGAAGCAATATTTCGCGCCCTACCCCATCGCCTCTTTAGCTCAGTGGTAGAGCACTGGTCTCGTAAACCAGGGGTCGTGAGTTCAATCCTCACAGGAGGCATCGCTCGTTTTCATGCTTTTTACGGTTTTCCTGCACATGTTTTTACATTTGTTTATTTTCTGAACGTTTGCTTATATTCTGAATGGAAACTCGTGTAAGTTAACTTTATTATTTATTTGATTATTATATTAGTTTTCGTTAAATTCAACCCTTATCTTCTAATATTTAAGTTCTTTTATCACAGTTTTAGATACCATACTTCTAAATAGCTTGACAAATTCTGATGAAATATATATATATTCAGTAGATTTGAGTATAAGTTATTTATTTGTTTGTTTAATTTTAGTATTTAAAAACACAAATAGCGTACTTAATGCATTGTCTACTAGTCTACCAGAAAAAGATGCTTAACCCTAAATATAAGAATAAAACAGTAGCCAAAAAAAAATGTTTGACTGCAAATACTGTATATGCCTTAATTGTGACATATGATTGATATATTTTTTATTTAGGTTAAATTATAAATTGAATGTATTAACAAATGTTATGTGGCAGTACTTAATACACACGGTTTAGGGTCAAGTTCCGTTAATACTACCTGTTTGGACACCGTTATAAGTTTATTAATATAACACAAGGATCCCACGGGCTCTGTTCGACTGCGAACCCTGTCGTCATACGTTTCATCACCACTCGGGTGACGACAGGGTAAAAAAAAAACTATTTTTTACTTATTATATATTTACTTCCATTCGACAAGAAATAGCTTATATAAAAGGTATTATATTGAGGGGTGGGGCATCGGTACGTCACAGTTTTGTAGATAATGTACCAAAGCGTGACGTCGTGTGACATTTGAACTCAATGTACTGCCGTAAAATTTAATGATACGCAAAAAAATAAAAAATGCTTATTTAATATTTTTCAACATTCAATCTGACGGACAAACATAGAAAATGTTGTTGTCATCCCTATTAAGGGCTCCAGGTAAGTGTCCCACGAAAGAAATCCACAATACCTCTTATTCCTTTGAACTATTATGGAACTAACGATGATTGTTAATTGCATTTTAATTACTGTTTTATATATACAAATGTAATTGTAATTTGACATTCTTTCATCAATGATTCTTGTATTTAAAAAAAAAAGTTGCATGTCGGGTTCCGGTAAAATGTTTGGACCCATTTATGAGAAATGAACATCCATTAAATGTAACCAAGCAGTCAATATCTTTATCATTCTAATAAAAGCAAAAACATAGTACTCCGAGGGACTTCTTTCGTGAGACGAACTGTACGTTTGGGGCCAGTAAACGCTAAAATACGTTCATAAAAGTGTGATGATTTTCTTTAATTCTTCATCTAACATCATAAAAATATTCACATTAGTTATTTGATATGACTCTATGAAAATTGCTTTTATTTAAAATGTCTCAAATGTTAAAAAATATTTAATTATTTTTACACAGATATTAGTTCGGATAATCGCATATGGGCTTATATCCCATATGGGCTTTTGAGGCAGACAATATTATTTTTTTATTTTATATAATAAAAAGAATACGATAAATTAAATTCGCTGTCCGAACTTCAGATCAAACTAGAAGTTTGACCGAGGTGCACCTACCAATGTATCGCGCCAATCACGTCCGTCTTTTTATCACCTAGTTACTGAATAGTACATGAATATGTAAAAACTGTCGACTTAATAATTTGGGAGTATTGCTGTGACAGACGGTGAGACATACAGATTATACCGTTTTTCTTTTCGACGAATGAAGGAACCTTGTTGAGGAAGTTTGTGTAACCGGGTGTAAGTGTTGTAGCATTGTACCACACTCAATGAGGTCTCTATAATGTTGACATAAATTTTGAATGAAAAATGTCATCACGAATATACGGCAGTATAATATTTAAATCGTTATCTAATGAGGAAGTATTTAAAAAAAGCATTAGTTCCCGAAATCAAACTAGATGTCGCTACGGTACTTTCTTGATTTCTCCATGACAACCCTTCCGGTTTTCTTTCATATATAAAAGTAAATTAATTTTCAAAACTCAATAAACAACTCATATTATCTTTGTATTTTTTCGTATTTGTATTGATATCTAACTTTTGAACTTTGCAAATTTCAGTTTTTTTATTATGTCAGTTAAAAGGAACGGAAATGACTATCTTTGCTCCATTCCTTTCCTGTCAACTTTTGCTAGAGTTACCATCTAGGGGGTGGTTATTTTAGTGCTCTTTTTTTTCTTATAAAACTTCCTCTATCATTAATTAATCACATCGAATGTCTTATTAAGATCTATAAAAATAAAAAACAATGTGTAACATGCACAAGGTAGCCATTCACGGCCACTGTTTCGATTAGCCCGACTATCGATACCAGCTTGTCCGCCGCGTCATTTCCGTTTCCGGCCGGCAAGGCGCCAGTTTATTTCTGACCGGCATCAACAGTAGCGTGTTGCATTCGGTGAACTCGATGGCAACTGAACGCATCACCTCCCTGACTCATGTATGCGCACTGACGTATACATGTATCCAATTACGCATCAAGTTTAGCAAATAATCTATTTTATAATAGTGCGGGAAAACTAACGAACGACACCCTTGCTGGCTTTGATTTGAAGGGGTGTCCGGAGGAGATTTTCGTTTAACTAACTCGTTTCAAATACAAACAACAAGAAATTTAATGGAACAGAAACCGCCAGTTTTCCCAGCGTTATTATCAGTGTCGTCATATCTCACGACTTTGGTAAAAGTTTGCCTTAACTTAGAACGGTAATAGTTTTGACTAACGTCACAACACTCATTCTATATGTTGTGATATGAATGTGAAGTAACTAAAATTCATTGAAAATCCAAATCATTTAAATAGATTCATAATAAATGAATTAATGTTTGCATCGCCATATCCTTTGTTTCTTGGGTGCGTTTTTGACATAACGGCTGTTTCCGATGTGCGGTAATGCATTTGGCCGCCAGCCAGTTCACTGTGGGCTCTTGACTCTATGCTAAACGAGCTTTTAGAACAAGACACCTTACTGTTTTGCAAATGCAGTAAACAGCCTACACCACTTCAACCGAAGCTTTTACATCGAAATACTAGCTAATAGTGGTGACAGAAAGCTTATTTTATACGTTTTATAAAGTTCCATTTTTTAAAGACAGAATATTATCTACGCAACTTACAATGACAACAAACACAAAATAAAATGTATGTGAAAAACCTACCCCATAATAATACAACATATTTCTTTGTTGTATTTTACTATCATTGGCAGATGTGAGTACAATACAATCTTCAATGAATGAACGTCATACCGTTCGCACTGAGGCATTGAGCAAAATAGTCTTACGTAGCATTACCAGTGCAGATTCGGAAGTCTAACGAAACCACCAGAAAACTACTAAATAAGAATCGATTCTTTCCTAATAAAATTGTTTGGGTACTGCGAAGACAACAATGTCTATTTTAATTTAATTTATTCATGCCATGTCTTTTCTAGAATAGTCTGATGTTTACCAAAAAATTTTACCGATTTATAGAAAATTGAGACCGAAAAAAACTAAAACGGACTTTTGCATTTTTTTTCTAAATAGCTTTAATTGGAGGTTCTGGAAATTATTTGTGGATATGCATATACAGAGAAAAGTGAAAAAGACTACACACTACGCCGATCCCACATAAAAGGGAACAAGGCAGGAGAACGATAATGGTGGCCATGATCAGTATTTAAATACATATTTCCTTGATTTAACTCAACTACAAGAGTGACTGCAAGATTGTTT